AAAATAATGATTAAAAAAAATTACAGAATAAATATACGAAAATCTGAATGGGGTTTACAGAATAGAGAATGACAGGCACAAAGTGCAGAATAAAGACCAAAAAATATAAAGAATAGAGAGAAATGGCCTAAAACATTAAACATGTTAAAGAAAACAGAAACGAAGGACCTCCCATCTAGACCCTCATATACCAATGATGCTACTGGCATCCAGACCCTCATATAACAATGATGCTACTGGCATCCAGATCCTCATATAACAATGATGCTACTGGCATCCAGACCCTCATATACCAATGATGCTACTGGCATCCAGATCCTCATATAACAATGATACTACTGGAATCCAGACCCTCATATACCAATGATGCTACTGGCATCCAGACCCTCATATACCAATGATGCTACTGGCATCCAGACCCTCATATAACAATGATGCTACTGGCATCCAGACCCTCATATACCACTGATGCTACTAGCATTGTGGCATCTTTTAAAATTTTTATTTTGTAAATAAGTGATCATGGCCAGATCCAGGGTCGGAGGAAAGATGGGATGTATGGTAATTGTCATAAATGGTAATAATACTGCAGAGGGTAGCAAAGTTAACATAACTATGGGATAAATGAATTGTCTATGAATAAGAGTAGATATACAGGACATTGATGTCCATCCCCCAACAGAAAGCTACATATTGAATTGTCTATGAATAAGAGTAGATATGTAGGACATTGATGTCCATCCCACAACAGGAAGCTACATATTGAATTGTCTATGAATAAGAGTAGATATGTAGGACATTGATGTCCATCCCACAACAGGAAGCTACATATTGAATTGTCTATGAATAAGAGTAGATATGCAGGACATTGATGTCCATCCCACAACAGGAAGCTACATATTGAATTGTCTATGAATAAGAGTAGATATGTAGGACATTGATGTCCATCCCACAACAGGAAGCTACATATTGAATTGTCTATGAATAAGAGTAGATATGCAGGACATTGATGTCCATCCCACAACAGGAAGCTACATATTGAATTGTCTATGAATAAGAGTAGATATGCAGGACATTGATGTCCACCCCACAACAGGAAGCTACATATTGAATTGTCTATGAATAAGAGTAGATATGCAGGACATTGATGTCCATCCCACAACAGGAAGCTACATACATGGGTTGGGCTTACAGAATAGAAAATAAGGAACAAAATATAAAGAATAGAGAAAAATTGGTAAAACAATAAAAAATAAAGAAAACTCGGTACAATAGGATTCTAAAATATAAAGAGTAGAGAATATTGTTAACTTTTTATACATTGTGACTTGGATGGAGAGTTGTCTCATTGGCACTCATACCACATCTTCTTATTTATATTCAAAATAGTAAGGAATATAGATAAATGGACTAAAATAAATTAATCATTTCCATTCTCAATTTTAATAAATAAAGAAATGGAAAACACCATCCAGATATGCATTTAGTAATTTTTCACCAGCATTCAAACTTAATGAACATAAGAAAATACTAATAATGTTCACTGGAAAAAACAATACCATCTGAAACATGTGAAACTTTGGTCAATCTTTATTTTTGTGAGTATGAAATGCATTACATTCTTTTTTTATTATATGATATAACCGCCTCAGTGGTCTCGTAGAAGCATGTTCGCCTTGAGTACGGGAGGTCGTGGGTTCAAACCCGGCCAGGACAAACCAAAGACTTTAAAATTGGTATTTGCTGCTTCTCCGCTAAGCAAGCGGTATTAAGGAGTAAAAGCAAAGACTGGTCAGTTTGGAGTCAGAATAATGTGTCTGGGTAAGGTGACATGTCTTCCTGCGGACTGTTACCTTGTGAACTAGAACATTAAAAATCCGGCTCAGCGTGTCGGTCTAGTACAAAGCAGCCAGGGTAAATATTCATATTACATTCACATGTTCTCGTCCTGAATATGCATATTAATTTGCCGCTGGACATTATGCAACCATTCATCATCATCATCTTCATAAAATGATATTAAATATAATTTGCAGTCTATGATGGAAAAAAAAATCAGTTGGTCAAATTGTGTAATGGTCTATTAAGAATTTGATTGGATAACCCATAACTCCGGACCTAACCAACAATAACTTGTTTTGTACAAATTATATAGGAAGCAAATCACACTTCATTTACTTCCTTGGTATTTTAGTTGCTCTGTTTGTAATAATGTTTTGTTTTTAATACTTTATTTTGTAAAAATATCATTTAATATAAGGTGTATCAATATTATCGAAATTTAAGATATATAAAAGATACCATCTAGTTTTACCCTTTATCAGAAAAAATACTATCTTTAAAAACAGTGATATCATGTCCTATAACTCATTGTTTATAATTTGTATATTTTGTATTTGAAGAAAGACAATCTATGTACTGATTGAATAAACGTTTCAACCCACATCATGACATGTTGCACATGTACATGTATGTATATGGGAAGACCTGCAATTTTGTGATGATTCACTTAACCATGTTATCAAATGTCCCAAACTTCCAATAAAAAGATTAGGGTAGGAATTTTGAGCAATAAAAAATAGGCTGGGGAGAGAAACCGTTAGCAAAAGTATTTTCAATCTTGGCCTTACTTTTCTTGAAATTACAGTATAAAAGTAAATGGTAACCATATACTGATGAAATGATATTTTGTGACCACAATTGAATATATTTTATATATATGTATTTTCAAACTTAATGAACTATGTTCCATGGAAAAACCATACCATCTGAATCTTTGGTCAATGTTCATTTTTGTAAACTCGTATGAAATGCATTACATTCCTTATCTTATTATATGATATTAAATATAATTTGCAGTCTACGATGGAAAAAAAATCAGTTAGTCAAATTGTGTAATGGTCTATTAAGAATTTGATAGGGTAACCCATCACGCTGACCTAACCAACAATAACTTGTTTTGTACAAATTATATAGGAAACAAATCACCCTTTATTTACTTCCTTGGTATTTAAGTTGCTCTGTTTGTACTAATGTTTTGTTTTTAATACTTTATTTTGTAAGAATATCATTTAATATGAAGGGTATCAATATTATTGAAATTTATGATGTATAAAAGATACCATCTAGTTTTACCCTTTATCAGAAAAAATACTATCTTTAAAAATGGTGATATCATGTCCCCTAACTTATTGTTTATAATTTGTATATTTTGTATTTGAAGAAAGACAATCTATATACAGATTGAATAAATGTTTCAACCCACATGTTGCACATGTACATGTATGTATATGGGAAGACCTGCAATTTTGTGATGATTCACTTATCCATATTGCCTAAAGTCCAATAAAAAGATTAAGGTACGCATTTTGAGGAATAAAATATAGCCTGGGGAGAGAAACCCTAGGCAAAAAATATTTGTAATCTTGGCCATACTTTTCTTGACATTACATGATTACAGTGTAAAATTAAGATAAACCATACTGATTAAAAAGATATTTTGAGACCACAATTGTATAATTTTTAAGCTACATGTATCTGTTTGATTTGAAATACATGTATTAGTGTATATATCCATGGATATATGTGCCAAAAAAGCTCTGCAAATGCATATTTGCTTTCTTTCATTATGTATCTAGAAAAAAGGAACAACAGCTTGATTCAATATGTTTTACAAATGATTATCTTTGCTGCAAAATGATAAAAAAAAAATCTGGAGAAAATCATAAATTCTTTCCATACATCAAATTTTAAAGATTGTCCCAGACTTTAAGCATGACACATTTTCTCAACGATACTTATTTTCATCAATTATAAAGTTTTAGAGAACCTCAACATTTCTGATTGTACTTCTTGTCAACAGAATTTCTATATAAATATATTTTCTCTGTGCAAAGTAATATTTTATTCTATGTTTTAATTTTGTGATAGCAGATTGCTTTAATAGTCATAACATTTGACATCAGGGGCAATATTTTCTTTTTAATTATTTTGCTAATTGTCATTTTTTTTACTTTCCTTTAGTTTATTTGACTATAAATGTGTCGCATTCCAAAAAAAAAAGAAAATATCATCATAAATACATTGGAAATGGTAATTCCCAGTTAATATACATATATATAATGCCTCTGTTATTATAATTATTATATTGTTTCATTTTTGTGATTGTTTCTGGCTTTTATATATATTACACACATAAAAACCTTAAAACTAAAAATACAATTGTCCTAATTTCATGTGCATTTTTTTGTCTTATATGTACTGTATACACCTTATCTCCCCAGGTACCAGACGAGATAACAAAAACATATGTACATACATGTATACTGAATACACTTGCCACAGGTCTGAGACAAGAATTTTAAAAATATATGTAATATACTGAATACACTAACATATTCATTAATATATACATATATTTTTTTAATCTCCCCATGTACCTGTACCCCAGATAGCTTCAACTGGTTTGTGATGTCATGAAAAGTTGTGTAATTTCAGAACTTTTTCGGATTGGAAAAAATAGCAACGGAGTATATGTACTATTACATGTTATAGTAATATCAGATAGCAATAAGGTGTATTGTTTTATGTAATATATTCTAAAGCTCTTCAAAGCTATGGTAGTTCTATAGTATAAACCTTCGTAGGTCTGTATCGTTTGCTTTCAGTTTCAGTGTTTTTTATCAGATTTTTTTTTTTATATCTATGCTGTTAGGACTTATTAAGAGCTTATGGTATTTGTAAATTATGAACATTGACATTAAATAAACTTCTGATTTTATTTGATCTACAAGATGGATAATGTCAAATAAATACAAATATATTTACTAACAAAGCATTATCACTATCAGAGACATATTGTATAATATATATATGTCTGGCATTACTTTTATTTTGTCTACTACAGGGGCCAGCAATATGCCAAGCACTACGATCAGCATTCAGTTAGAATTCTTAGCAATCAATATGAAGGATATCATTTTAACATATATATGTTATACCTTTGAGTTTTTCTATTTGTAAATATTTACAAAATATATACAGATCTGTTTCTACGTTTTTCAGATTTTTGTTATTATTTGTCAATGCAAACATTCCCTCGACGTTGCTGAATCAAAGTCAATTGGACGCTTTCACGTGGGAAATGCAAAGGAGTTACTTTTAATTTGTTATCCCTTTGAGTAAGACAAATGAACAGCTGAAATGTCTGGTAAAAGACCAGCGAAAGGGAAAGGTAAAAGACATTAACAAAAAATAAAATCATATTGGCAATATTTGTCCATGGATTTTAGTTGTACGAACGTTGACAACCCCCTTTTTCCCTACAAAACGTCAAAAGTCAAAATAGTTATTGTTACGACCATTTGATTTTCTAATTGGTCTATGGGAGTGGGAGAATGGAAGCCTCAGGGAGGGTTCTGAAATTGGATAATCTGCCCAAGATGCAAAATACAGGAAACATGGGAAATAAATGTGTTCTGACATACAAAAAAGCGTCACAAATAGATGACTCACGCGAGCTGACATTCATGCACTTTCTCAGAGATTGCCTACATCACAATAAGAACTGATTGTTCAATGACATCACTTACACAGATTGGCCTCGGGTCAACTAGTGAAACTCATTCATATTAACCAACTTGAGATTGGTGTATAACAAGGCCTGTCGTAAGAAGGCGCCACCACGAAATATTAAAATAGTCTTTCAAGACGTTTTAATTATTTGGACTAAGCCTGCCCAAGGATTTGTCTTACTTTACAAATCCTTGGCTGGCCTATGACAGGTGTAAATGAATATTCCTTTCTGTTTCTGCCAGCAAAAGCAAGTAATGGCAACAATCAACTGTGACAACAAACTGATTATACTGCCATCCTCTATAAAATATTTGATATTTATTCAGCTTTGTCATCTAGGCATTTAAACCCGGATGAGTGTTTGCGGTAATCACATGATGTAGATGAACAAGAAGCATTTGTCGTGCATATTTTTGACAGTAGTCTTGTTGGTAGTAGACAAATTTCTTTTGATATGGCCACTTTTTTGTTCTCTAATTTCAGTAATTTGTAGAGTATGGTGAGTCCTTTGTCAAAAATCCACCTACCCTAGAAAAGCCATGTACAGTCAGAGATATAACTCTATAGGGTTATTACAGAAAATAACTTGCGTGTGTTATTACAGATACTTTCATGAGTTGTCTACTCTTTATTCCTTAAATTTTTTAAATCTGCAATAACATGTTTGTTATTTGTAAAATAAATCAAAAATATTTTAATTTATAATGGGCTCTAGGGAAGTCTTGAGACTTTGCGCAGAAACTAAATGCATAGCCTTGATAATTAATTTTTTAATTAAATTAATACATTTTTGATTAACCATGGTAAATCAATGAAACGAGCCTTTTAAGGGATAAACTTAGCTGAAATAACAAGGCTTAGTTATTAAAGGAATGTAACTTATTATATGAGACACTTGGGAATTACTGGGAAACTTGCGCAGAACCTCATTACATGCTCCGGTCATTATTTCTTACAATAAATTAAAATACATTGTAATTAAGCATGATGTATGTCTGAGAAAATGCTTTGGAGTGATATAGAGAAGCTGTGATAACACCCTTTAGTTATTACAGGCATATTTTTTCTGTAATAACACAGGTGTACTATGCAAAATTGGCAAACTATGAACTGTTATATCTTTCTATAGTTAAGTATACATAAGGACAATAGTAATATCAATAGAACTTGTATGCATTTTAACTAAACTAGTGATGCATATTGTCCCTTTGAAACATGTAACATACATATGTTATTACAGTTCTTTGATTTTTTAGTCCACAATAACAAATGTATGTTATTTTTCTGTAATAACCCTATAGACATGATAAGAGTTATATCCCTGATTGATGTATGACACCTGGATTTAATTTTTGCGCTGATGCCTTCCTGAGATAAATACTCTATTTTTGAGATAATTTTTCTTTGATAAACAAAAGACTTATTTTTGAAAATCATTTTCATATTTTTCTTTGAATGATTTTGCATTACAAAACTTTGCGAACAAAATTTATTGTTTAAAAATTAAATTATGGTTGAACAGCATTTTCAAAATAACTGTGTCACAAAGACTTCAGGTCTCTGGACAAAAAAAAATGTATGAAAACACTGAAATAAATTGATTTTGTAGGGCTATCTCTCCTTGCAAAACAAAAACAATTTGTGTCCCCTGTTATTGTATAAGTTGTATTTGAAACTTTACATCCTAAAAAACTTCAAAATACTTTTGCTAACCAAATTAAAAATTACCACAGAAAATCTGATTCTGTTGATTGTATTGGTCATATTGGCACATGAGGTTTTCCTTTGTTATTCTTTGCATAATTGTGTCTCTCAATCATGTCAATGAGCAACCTGGACAAAATTCCATTAATTTTCAAGGATTTTTATATATCCTTTGTGAAATATTATCACATGTATGCATATAAATGTATGCCTTCATGTAGCTAAATTTATTACCAAATAATTAAAAACTTTATCATAATCTTTCAAAATTATTCTAATTAACATTAACTATTATTTTTCAAACTTTTTTTATATAATCTCAAATGTTATTGCTGATTACGAAAAAACATATATGAGAAAATCAATAGTGCAACTGTAAATCTAACGATGGAATTCCTTTAAATATGCTATGGTGCAGATCCCTGATTTTATCATAATTATTATACAGGTTAAAAGGGAAAATATGGTTATGTAAAAAGAAAGAACACAAGCAATATGATTTTTTTTGTTGAGACTGCGACTTCTGTCCCAGAAAACGAGACATAGGGATAGTGATGCGGCGGCGGCGTTAACTAACTACTTAAAAGCTTAATATTTCAGAAGGTAGAAGACCTGGATGCTTCATACTTTGTATAAAGATGAAGATATGTCTGTCATATGTTCATTGTCCTTGACCTCATTTTCATGGTTCAGTGACTACTTGAAAAAAAAAATAAGATTTTTTGTAATCTTAATTTCTCACTTAGTATGAGTAATATGATAACTATATTTGATATGTGCGGACCTTGCAACTTGACCTCGACCTCATTTCATGGATCAGTGAACAAGGTTAATTTTCGTGGTCAAGTCCATATCACAGATACTATAAGCATCACATAACCTAACAAGATCAAAGAATGGGAAATGTAAAACAATTCAAACGAGAAAACAATGGCCTAATCTGCGTACAAAATAATGAACGAAAAACAAATATCAAAGTCCACTAGTAAATATACATGATGATGAGAAAATATTAATGTCATGAAAATACCCTGCATTTTACAATATGCAAATGAACCGACTAATTATGATTTTTGAAGAAGCCTCAGTGGCTGAGTGGTCTAAGTAGTTCATCTACAGTGATTACAAGCCTGTCAAGACTTAGTAGTTCATCTACAGTGATTACAAGCCTGTCAAGACTTAGTAGTTCATCTACAGTGATCACAAGCCTGTCAAGACTTAGTAGTTCATCTACAGTGATCACAAGCCTGTCAAGACTTAGTAGTTCATCTACAGTGATCACAAGCCTGTCAAGACTTAGTAGTTCATCTACAGTGATCACAAGCCTGTCAAGACTTAGTAGTTCATCTACAGTGATCACAAGCCTGTCAAGACTTAGTAGTTCATCTACAGTGATCACAAGCCTTTCAAGACTTAGTTTGTGAGTTCCAATCTTGCTTATTAATTGACTAGGATTTGATTATAATCTTTATCAGTAAGACCTAATATCGAGTTGAAAAAGAAAGAATTGGAGGTGATACTTGATTTCCATTCAAATTAATATTTCAATAAAGTATTGTACAATGTATATAAATTGAAGCTGGCCATTGTTGTGAAACAAAATTGAGAATGAAAATGGGGAATGTGTCAAAGAGACAACAACCCGACCAAAGAGCAGAAAACAGCCGAAGGCCACCAATGGGTCTTCAACACAGCGAGAAAAAACAGAAACATTAGTGAGAAAAAAAATCAAATTTTGCTTAGAACGCTACATGTATCTCTTGATCTTGTTGATTATGAAGAAGCTTCTATCCAAGCTTCGTAAAATTCCATGAACAGCTGATGAAGGTTTGATCAAGTTATTGATGTCTAAAACACAGACTAAGCCTAAATGTTGATGACAACAACAACTTGTCTTAGGCATGACAAAACAGCAGTGAGAAACAAAAAGTTGCCATGTGAATTTTTCTGTCTGTGTACATTTTGATTTCAAAATGTTTCCTCTTTATTTTGCAGTACATATTGCCCCTCCTGGTGACTTTATAGCACTTGGTAAGCAGAGCAAGTCACCAGCAGACAGTGACCTCCCGAGATTACAGTCCAGCAGTAAAAAGCCAGAAAAGAAAAGAGAGGGAGCTCCAGCAATTTCAGGTGCACCTCCAGTGAAGAAGCCAAAAATCTTATCCCAGGGACAGACATTTACTCCCCTTGGTAGAACTGATACAGATAGGAAGAGTTCACCAGCTCCTAGTACTGTAAGTCAGTATGAAGAGCTGGCTATTGAAGGTATATTTTAAAGATTAGAGTCATAAATTGGAAATGGGATATGAGACATTTTTCCAAATATAACAGGGCAATATCATTTTGTCCAAATATGACAGGACAATATATTGATCATGAGGTCAAACAGAAGAAAGAGATGATCTGAAGAACTTTTGAATTACTGTCAACTTATGACCATAAGAATTGGAGATTTATACTTGTATTAATTCTAAATTTACAGTATACTTATAAAGCTTGTTTTTACAGTATAAAAATAAATGTAGTTTATGTACATAAGTAATTTCAAAAGTTGCTTGCAAATTTATCATATAATTACAATATATAGACATGCCAGGAGTTAGTATTTGTTAATTTATTACATAGTTGAAGGTGTTGAGCTGTTGGAGGAGATACTGGATGCTGAGGATGTGTGTAATGATGAACGATTGGAAGGATTACTTTGTGGAGCTGTCAAACAACTTAAACAATTTAGATCTAAACCAGAAACAGCAATGTACCTGACTCTGATGCACCTAGCAAAAGAAAAATCTAGTTTGTTTAACAGTGAAATTGTTATAGAGGTAAGCTTTCAATGCATATGGGAATGATGGGTCATAATGTCGCTTTTCATTTCTTCAGATTTGGCATTGCTTGAATATAGCTATATGAATATAATTCACATTTACTATTATTTGGTGAATGTGGATTCTACACCTAGTCTAGTTCAATTTTTACAGACATTTCATTGCAATAAGCAGGTCATCCCATGTTGAAATAACTTATAAAATTTCCTGTAGGTAATTGTTGTTGGACGGTGATTAAACAAATGTCACATATGATAGATTGTCAGTTAAATTTAGAGCATCAATGCTAACAATGGTTACAAATAACATTAACAGTACCAACTTTTCTGCACCTGATGTGCATTTCGACAATAAATGACTCTTCTGTGATGCTCGAGGCCAAAATATTTGAAAAACCAAAACTTATTACAAAGATGAAGAGCTGAATTAGATTGAAAATCATAGACATTGTTGAACAAATACAAGTATCTGTGATATTGGTACTAACTCTGGTCATTCTAGTCAACATCAGGTTCATAACTAATAAATTGCAAATGTTGACTGACAAAACTTATGTTTGGTGGCAGGTGAAAAACGTTTTACTCCATTACTATGATTTGCTTTTGATGTTTATTTTGCAATGAATGTTTCAGTCTTTGGAGGAAGATAACTATACTGAAAAGGATTGGATAGTAGGCTGAAGACTTTATACATTCTCTCAAGTAGTGTATCTGTAATTTAATTTGGAACAAGTTTGGTTGCAGCAGCTAACAATATATTGAAAACCATACATAAATCTTTGAATAGGATTGACCTCCGTCAGGAAATAAAACTGGTGTACATGTAGACAAAAGATTTCTGTTGTAAAGTCTTTTCTGAGTCTAGTTTTAATTGAAAGAAATGTATACTATATTTTAGGCTATATGCAGTACACTAAAGAGAGACGTATCCTTGAACTTCAAATCTAAAGGAAACCCCCTTGTATCTGTTTGTATGTGTAGTATACTACTGGCTGCCTTCATCGAGGAAGAAAACTGGCCTGATGAATTTGTAAAGGTAGGTTAGATACCTTGTGTTGTAACATTTAACATACTGAATTCATATATATATCTCTTGTTTTATCATGCTTTTGGTGTCATATATCTATTCTTGAAAGCAAACTTCAATCATGCTCCAAGTATACTTGATGTGAATAAAATCTTTTTTGTAAATAATTTATGATCTTTTCATACAGAACAAAAAATTATGTAGTTTCTACTATACCATCCAATTTTATCCACTCCAGATGGTAAAATTGGAAAATTAAATACTCAAGCGTGGATAAATAGTATAGTGAATGATGTAAAGGGCTTGAATCTCTTTAATGATGAATGGGAAAAGGTCAGGTGCAATTTCTGCTTGGATTTAGCAGAAAATAATACAAGACAATTTAATCAACGTGTTTAGTTTATCAAGCTAATCAGAACTGCGATTTAGATTCTCTCAGAATTATAGAAAATTGAAATACATGCATTCTCAGCTTAGCAGGGTTCGACATTAACTTTTATACCAACTTGTCCAGTTGGGCAAGTGCCCTATTACTTTTACTTGTCTGAAAGTGAAATCTACATGCCCAAACTTTTACATGCTATTTTTGAGGAATTCCACTGAATAAACTTGCCAGGGACTGTTGTGCCATGATGGCAGCAACTAGACTTGACCACTGAGATACTATGAGGCATATATGAGCCGAGGAGGGAGGGAAAAGATCGACGAATATACGGGAATTGGATCATTTACATAGAGATACTCATTTCATAACAATTTATCTAAGAAATGCCATTTCAAAAAACACTTCTTGATAAACTGACAACAACTAACAAATTTTAAGTTCATTTTCTCTTTCAAGCTTTTACGTTTTTCCATCTTAGGGAAATACACATCCGATGTCAAATTCTAAAGTTAGAACAACGAAAATAGACCTCCCCTTTCCATTGGTCGGTGGGAATAACATGTGCGTCGGAAACGCCGAGTGGTGTCCCGAATGATAACGATAATGACGAAGCAACGCCTCGGCCGCCTGATTGGCCAATATTTTTAAACGTGATCTATTTTTGGTAAAATGGGGAATTCAGTGCGAACAAATGACGAAATACACGCATTGAAGGGGGGTTAGACCACTTTACTCGTCCGTGTGGTGCTATCACTGAGTAATCTATGGACAAAACAACACACACTATTGATTTTGTGAAATTTTAATCATATAACACTTTTTTTTTCACTTGCCCGATCGGACAACCAAGATGATGTTTTACTTGTCCGAATACGGCATGAACTTGCCCCGGGCATTCGGACAACCGTAAGTGTCGGACCCTGCTTAGTGAAAATTTTATTTGAGCTGCGTAAGAAATTTAGAAATTATCCCATGTACTGGTTGGACTATGTTTTCTTAATAGAACTTTTTTCTGTTATTCAGGTTTTCATAGATGATTCATTAGGAGACAGAGTGTGGGTAGATCGTTCTGATTGTAAAGGATTTGTAGACAATGTGATCACTGCCTTCAATACTAATTTACCACCTAAATCGCTCCTGCAGTCAGAACCATCTCAAGGTGGATCAGGTATGTATAGAGAAATTTTAGTCAAACATATGGTACAAAAGTAATTGCTTGGTCCATTAGTCTGTCCTTCTGTCTGTCTGTGTCTGAAACAAATGGTTTCCAGATGATAACTTGGATATCCAATGCTTGATTGGAATGAAACTTATACAGATGGAAGATAAAGGGAAGGGGAAAAAACCTATTGACTTTGGGGTAATTAGGTCAAAAGGTTGAGGTCACTGTTACTGAAAATAGATATATTTTTTTAAAAGCTTCTTAATGATATCTTTAGTTTCCTTATCATGATTGAAATGAAACTTAGACAGGTTGAAGATATAGGAAAGGGGGAGAAGCCCATTGATTTAAGGAGTCAAGGTCACTGTTATTAGAAAAAGATCTTATTTTTTAAAGTTAGTCTCTAAATTGTATACCACTGTGAGTTGTAACACATTTTTACAGGTGATAAATAGTACATGCTTATTTGTCCCTCAAAGCATACTAGTATTTTGAACCTTTGAAAAAAAAAATGTTTTCTTTCAAAAATGTGCAGTTTAGAGAGTAACAGTTGGCAGTACCAGATTTTTTCTTGTGTTTTTTATTATAAATAAGCATTTACTTTGATATCTTAACTAATCGATTATAACAACAAGTTGAAAAATTGATAGTTAAGTAAACATCCATTCATCTGTCATTTGTATATTTCAGCAAGTCCAGTAGTTGTTGAAGATGAGGATGGGAATATTAAAACAGAGTCAGCGGATAATTTATTTGGTGATCTGGATATTAATGTATTTCCTAGGTATGCATCTTCATTGTGCTTTGTTTGATATTAGTAGGGTGAAAACCTAGAGTGATATAATTAGCTGACACAAATAACAAATGTATTTTATTATTCAAATGTTTTATGTAAATTTTTGTTTTTTTGGTGTTTTGAGTTCTGGACAAATAGACCAACTAAGATAAAAGGAGAGCAGATAACAGTTTACCAGTAAATGGCTTTGAGTAAACTAAATAAAACCCTCAGATAATAAGATATGATATTATTGAAGTAGAGTATTTATGATACTTCGATAAGACTGAGAAAACAAAAAAAAAGAGTTATAATAAAGAGTAAAACAAAATTTATGAATTTGTTATTGAGGTGTTTTAAAAAATTGAAAATTGATTTTGAAAATCCAAGATGTAAACCAAACTGCAAAGCAAACAATGCAGCCAGGAAAAAAATATTATCTTGTATAAAAGGATGGATATCTTGGTTAGGGGAGATAAATCTCAGTTATTTGTTAACATATTTTTTATAAAAATGGTTGGCACAAAAGTGCAAGTGTTTTTGTCTCGAGTGGAGTCAAAAAGCGAGACTAAGGTATTCTGTTTCTGACGGCAGTGTCAATATGGTAAGTCAATGATATTTGGTATGCAGCTGTATGAGCATTGGCATATTTCATTTCTATGAAGATTGTTTGATTCCGCTCCCACAGTCATTGTCTATTGATCTTGAAACTTTTGCATATTTGGCATTTCAAAGTATTGCAATCTTAATTTCAACATTTGCATTTTTTCCATCAAATTACATACAGGTTGAGACATATTTCTGTGTCAACAGTTTATTTAAAGAGTTATATCCATTAGTCTTGTCTACTTCATTAAGTCATAAAAATTGTGATTCTTATTTCTTTTGATTTACTCTAAATTTCAGATACCCATTCCAGCAAGATAGTATAGAGACATTTGTTATTGATCTAATCAAGGAACACATAAATAGAAGACAAGGAACGGATTCCACGGCTCGTAACTTAATAAGGTTGATGACATCTACATGTGGGTATGGTGAAGTCAGATTGCTATCTGCTCAGAAGTTAGAAATGTGGCTGCAAAATCCAAAGGTTTTTATTTCTCTCTTTAGTTGCTATTATTATTATATTATACCCCTAATTAAGAAGTGGGGCTTTATTGCATTCCTCTTGTTTGTCCATTCATCCATCTGTTCATCCAGCAAATATTTCTGTCATACTTATCAGCTACTACTGAACAGAATGACTTCATATTTGGTCAGCAGCTTGGCAGCGATAAGTTGTATAGTATAAGTGCTTTGAGGTTCAAACACCAAATTCCTTTTTGCAGATACTTTGAATTTATCCATATGATGAACAAACTTAAAAATATCGTCACACTTTTCTCCAGTACAACTGAACAGAATGACTTAGTCAGCAGCTTGGTAGTGATGAGATGTAAATGGTGAATTCTTTTCAGATCTTCCAGATAACTTCTTAATGTTTTCTCATACTTTGAATTACGAGTAGGGGTAGCAATGCATTCTTGTTAAAAACTATTATAAACAAGAAGAATGTGACACAATTAATACTGTCAGCATCTTGAAAAATTGAAATAAATAAATATAACAATTAAGAGATGTATTATTATTACTAACATTTTAAACAAGAACCGGTTTTCAACAATAAAGGGAGATAATTACGATGCTGAATTATTCTCCATTTGTTCAAAGTTTTTATAAAAAATGTTTTTTCAGTGTTTGATAAATTTTTGTTACAGTTAACAAGATCAGCTCAGGATCTTCTGATGTCAGTATGCCTGAACTGTGGACAGAATGATCCAAACGATACAGAGGTTTTATCATTGTTGATTAAGATGAGGATGAAGACAAAGCCTTTACTCAATCATTTCCTGGCTTGTCTCAAGTAGGTATTTTCTATAGAGTTACATAAAATCAAGGTTTGAACTAGAAAATATATACTAAAAATTAGAAAAAATTATTTAGGTATCAATTTTTATGTACAGTACTCACAAAGTTATTTACTGGTTAACATATCACAAGTTTTGTCTTTTACTGATTTCTTCTGTGCAACCATGATTTCAAAATTTTATCAATCAATATCTTTAAAAAAACAAAGAATTTAGCATCACCAAATGTAAGTACATTTACAATCCTGTTTTTTGATGAGAAAGAATTGCTTTAAAATATTTTTTTTTTAGTAAACAGTCACTTTTACATTTGCTACAAACTTTTAATTTTATTTTAGGGAAGTATTGTCACAGCATCCAGAAAACCTTAGAATGATTATGACACACACTATTTATAACGAGCTGTCAAACTCCAGAAATCCTAACAACATGGCATTGATTACTGTTCTCTTCCAAAACTCACAGGATCAGGCAGCAAGGGTAGGTAACTCTATACTTATTAGTACTCTTCCAAAACTCACAGGATCAGGCAGCAAGGGTAGGTAACTCTATACTTATTAGTACTCTTCCAAAACTCACAGGATCAGGCAGCAAGGGTAAGTAACTCTATACTTATTAGTACTCTTCCAAAACTCACAGGATCAGGCAGCAAGGGTAGGTAACTCTATACTTATTAGTACTCTTCCAAAACTCACAGGATCAGGCAGCAAGGGTAAGTAACTCTATACTTATTAGTACTCTTCCAAAACTCACAGGATCAGGCAGCAAGGGTAGGTAACTCTATACTTATTAGTACTCTTCCAAAACTCACAGGATCAGGCAGCAAGGGTAGGTAACTCTATACATATTAGTACTCTTCCAAAACTCACAGGATCAGGCAGCAAGGGTAGGTAACTCTATACTTATTAATAACTAACAACATGGCGTTGATTACTGTTCTCTTCCAAAACTCACAGGATCAGGCAGCAAGGGTAGGTAACTCTATACTTAATAGTACTCTTCCAAAACTCACAGGATCAGGCAGCAAGGGTAAGTAACTCTATACTGATTGGACAATTCTAAATAAAATTTAGATGCAATATTTTTTAAAAAGTCCATTAACTGTACCATTAAGTTTTTCCTTAAAAGTCCAGATCTATGTCTGAGGTTGTGGTGTTGAACCCTGCACATGGCAGGTGCATTATACTCCAATTTTGATTAACTAGAAATATCAGTTTTCCTGCTGATGGTCTACGGTTCTCTCTGGACACTTCGGCTTCACCACCAATAAAAACTGACCACCACAATATAGCCAAAACAATGTAATCAATCCAGATCCAAGCCAGTACAAATCATTTGGCACAACTCCTCCTAACAGGCTGGATGGATATTAATGAAACTTTATCTAGTTGTAGAACACTACTTCAAGCTGTGCATAAAGGAATAAAGTAGTTATTTTTGAAATCTCAAGAAGAGATTTTATATGAATTTATAAGGTTAAATATACTTACCATGAAATTACATTTATATTATATAGAATATGTTTGCTTTCACAACATGTTCTCATCGCAATTAACTAGGTGATTAAAAATTACATCCATAAGATGTACTCACCTACGTCATAATTTACCTGTGTAACATATAGTAACTTTAGTTTTAATTTGTCGTTTAATTGAATAATTACAATTGTGTGAACAAAAAACTGAATTTATTCTAGGGGTGGTGGTGGATTGTGGTAAGTATATTTAACCTTATAAATTCATATAAAATCTCTTCTTGAGATTTCAAAAATAACCATTTTATATGAATTTGGTTAAATATACTTACCATGAAATTACATTTATATTATATAGAATATTTACTGATTAACAAGCAGTATTTTATTTTGGTGGAGGATAAATTCTCTCACACATATACAATTTCCAACATTTAAAAACTATGTCAAAATTGTTAAAAAATAACTCCACTAAATTTTGTAAATACAGATCTTAGTCAAAACCGTAATGACTAAATTTAAATTTATTACACAATAAAGCTATGCTGTATAACTATATGTATCAATGGCAAAACTCTTCAGATTGCATAAATAAAAGTATGCAAAAATAGACTTGAATAAATAATCTGCAGGCCAGTATAGAAATTATTTCATTAAAGCTCCTTCATTATGAGTTAAATGTGTTGTAATATTATTGCAACAGTAAATAAGCATTTATTTTTTTTATTTTTTCTTGTGAATAGGTTGTTCTTATTGCTTGTACAAATCGACAAGAACTAATCCAACCTTAGTATCATTTACTTTTCAACTTTGAAATATTAGTTTTCAAAACTTTAGTTTATTTGAAAACAATAATAGCTTCTCTCTAACTTTTCATTGTTTTCTCTATAGTTTTAATATAAAAAACAGAGAATATATGATTGCTGTCACCTTTTGATAACCTGATCATTATCAATATCTTTCATAAATAAATTCCTTTCTGCTAAATTGTCAAAGAATTATAATCAATTAAAATATACTTTGTAAATCAGTGTCCTTAATACCAACAAAGTATAATAAAGACTCAAACAAAAATTGTTTCATGATTATGCTAAATCTGGATCAATCTATAAACTTTTTTGAAGTTATAGTCTCCTTGAGTACTTATTCTTCTAGATATACTACTCTTTTTAATATCTAATAGATTTAGAATGAAAATATTTTTGTCAAGAGAAGTCCTGCATTATAGGAATGGCATGATAGTTTTCCTAACCGACTAAAGTCTGATAGAAATTTCTATGAGTGGTAGAACCTTTGAATACAATGTCTACCAGTTCAACAACGAACAAACATTACCTTTATGTTTCGTATTAGACTACTTAATTGTAAAAATACAGAATTGGACAAATCAGTGGAAATGTTTAAGTATACATGTTTTCCAATAGTATCATAATGCTTCTACAGAATATTTGGATGTTGAGCAAGCCAAAACTGTTGTCCTAATAAGCCAAAAAGAATGCTGACAGATGATTTTCTCCAACTATGAAAAATCTGTCTGTCAATGTTGTTTTGATATTTCTAATTAATATCTCACAATGGTATACTGTCTAAAATGTGAACCTTTAGGCACGATTGATTATAAATTATAAATTGCCATGTACAGTTCCAAATTTAAAGAAACAAAAGTTTGACATATTGAACAACTCTTGAACTGTTGCTCTTGACAATTGTTTTTATTTGTTTCAGAGAATATTTCGCAATCAGAAATACTAACATGCAACATGTCAAATTTAGCTCTATACATATATTTAAAGAAAACACATGTTTGACCATATGGAAAACACTTGTACTAACTTACTTTTGATAAGTGTTCTTAGTTGTTTCAGAAATGGTTTCACAATCAGAAATGCTCATTTTATTTCTCTCTTAGTTCACCTTGTCTGAATTCTATACATTCTGATATGGTTCCATATATACCAATCAAAACACTTTTGGTAGCATTTTTGTGACTTCAACCCAGTCATTTCAGGCCGGCTGAAGGACGCCTCCGGGTGCGGGAATTTCTCGCTGCATTGAAGACCTGTTGGTGACCTTCTGCTGTTGTCTGTTCTATGGTCGGGTTGTTGTCTCTTTGACACATTCCCCATTTCCATTCTCAATTTTATTTGGTTAAACTAAGTCACTCAGGAGAATTTTGCATTTGTCCACAGATTTGACAAAACAAAATAAATGGGATTTGTATAATCACATCTTTCAAAACAGTATTGAATCAAAATTCAAACTAACTGTTAATAAACACATTTTAATTTTGTCTAGTATATTCTTGCATAAAATACTAACTCAATGCTAGATATTTAATATTATTTCTGCAAAGTTCTGCAGAAAAAGGACTAAGAAATATTGTTAGATAATTGTCTGGTCATTATGAATATTGAATAGTGAATACCATCAATTTTGGGATTAAATCGCACCCAATCTATTTGGAAACCTTCCTACATGTAGATATTAAAGTCACAACTTGACTTTGACAAGACTAGATTTTTTTTTTGTACTCTTTGTTAATAATGAACAAAAATAAAAATAAACAGTGACATTTTAAATTTAGATATTTACAAATGTGTTGCACTTATAATCATGGAATTATCATATTGCATTTTACTTCCATGTACAAACAGACTATTGAATGTTATTTGCTAACTATTAATCAGTCTTTTAAATAAACTGCTTTTCGTGTATTTTGCTCTTAGATTAACTGCTTCTACAGGTGCTAAAATTTGAGAACCAATTGAAATATATATATATATATATTGGTATAATGTAACCCTTTTTTTTTTCTTTTTTTTTTCTGCATCTTGTAAAGACTGGCTAAAAAGAAGCTTTATATAAAGAGATGTATTAGATAGTTCATTTCTAAATCATGTAAACTACTCCAATCTCCACGTCTATGTCTAGCATTTTTAATGAATCTTGCATCCACAATGCTTTAAATTTTCTTTATTTATTTATTAATATTTTACTAATTATATCTAATTTTTGCACAATCTATATGATATGCCTTTATTCTTAAACTAAATTGTCAAAAAAAAAAATCTTATGATAATCTTGTTTTTTTATATATCAGTATCTTTGAGTCCTCTATAGTTCAGCTTTCTGATTCAATATAAACTCAAGGAAAAACTTGTAGCAGTTTGATTAGCTGTTTTAACTACCAATCTCACATTAAGATTGAAAACAGACCCAATGAATGAATCCCTTACAGCAGAATCTTGCCAAACTTGTTGTCATTGCTTTGAAAACTTAAGACGTAGAGACATAATTTTCTATCTATTAAAGAGCTTCCAAAAATCTCTCCCTTTCATGATTGGAAGATACATGTATTATTTGACAGTGATTCTCATATAGTGAGGGTAAAAAAATACCCCTAAGTCTTATGTTATCACCTTTTTGTGTACTTAACGCAAAATAGCACAAGTATATACTATGTTATATGCATTGGCAATGTACACTCTGATTTATGTAATCAAAATATAAGCCATATCCCTGAATCAAGTCTTTGTGAAATGCACCATAATGGCATCCCCTAAACTCTTCTTAATCCAAGAGACAATCTAATGTTTACTTAAAAACATATAAAAGTCCATGTTTCATTAATGCAGACAAACAACCAATTGGTCATAGCATTACATACTGAAAATATTAATGTTCTTCTTGTCAGTAATAAACTGACCTTGAAATTTAAAAATTGATAATATGAGTTGTCACAAGCTATCAACAGGTTTTAGAACGGTGTTCCATTCTTACTGACTCAATATATTAGTATTTTCCTAACATCTGTAAGAGAATAATTTATCAGTAAAGAAAAAATTTACAGCAATTTCCTGCTCTGAGAAAATATTTCAGGCTTCTGAGAATTTACTGTCCTGATTAAATCTGGACATAATTAAAAAATTTGTGTATTGACATGTTAAAACTACATACACATTTGTAAGTACTAAATAACTCTGTACTATTTCAGTGTTTTTATCTGTCTTGACCATTTCCAGACACTCTTTCAATATATTATCAATATGAGTATATATATAAATGGCTGAACTGTTGGTTCATCACAAAAATCAATGTGCAACCAAAAATTAGCTAACATCAAAATGTGTGTTGTACAAAATATGCAACCTGCTTGTGCTTGCAGGTTGTTTTAAATACAATAAAGGTAGACCTACGTTACCTAGATGGAACGATGTCTACAACAATCAAATAGACCTGGACTAAAATTCACTATTCTAATTCAAATTGATTTTATTTCAGTACGTCAAATACTGAAGTTTTTATTTCCAATAATGATCTATGCTCCCTTAATATCAATGTGCAATCAATTAATAATTATGATTTTTAGATAAGATCAAACCTGTATTGTAGAATGCATGCAACTTACAGATCCAAAATCATGCATGTTGTTCTAGTTCCTATGTTTCCTGGATGAAACGATGTCAACATTTATAATCAAATAGACTTGGGCAAAATCCCTTTTCTAATTTTATTTGTGTTGCATCAACCTCTTTTTATTTTCAATAAATATGGTCTATGTTCCCTAAATGGAAGGTTAACCAAATAAACATAATCAGTTCTGGGCAAATGCCCTATTCTGATTATGATTTATCTTATCAACTTTTAATAGTATCAATGTTGGTCTACGCTCCCTGTATGGAACGTTATCCAAATAAAACAATCGGATATGGGCAAATTCCCTATTCTGATTTAAATTTATTGAACCACTTAAGGTGCTAGTGACAATAGTGGTCTACACTCCCATAAGGACGTTATCCACATAAAAATAATCAGATCTGGTCAAAATACCTATTCTGATTGTAATATAGTGATGTGTTTATTCCGTCTCGTGTACAGACTGTAAACAATCAACTCATACGAACTTTCCATTTGACCCGTTTCATAAATTGCTCTAAACAGCTAAAATTCGGTCAGCGTGGAAGAAGAATTAAAACATCCGTTTATTTTTAAAAAACGGAGCACTTACGTAACAAGTCCGATTTTGACAGAAAGTTCTGCCTTTCCTCGCACCGGACTTAATGTTTGAAAATGGCGGCTAAACAAAAGTTAATTTCTAGGTCGTCGTTACAGACTCGTAATCAGTAATGTTGACGAAACGTGCATATCAGAAACTTGACAAGCGAGCTGTATAAACATTAAATTAATCGTAAAACGATATTCCAAAAATAAATAATGTCTTTTATAAAACATAAGGATTTTTAACAGTAGACTGTTAAAAATCCTTGTCGACGAGAAACATGTGTTCACCTGAACGCAAAAATTAAAACTAAAGTTACTATATGTTACACAGGTAAATTATGACGTAGGTGAGTACATCTTATGGATGTAATTTTTAATCACCTAGTTAATTGCGATGAGAACATGTTGTGAAAGCAAACATATTCTATATAATATAAATATAATTTCATGGTAAGTATATTTAACCAAATTCATATAAAATCCCTGTCCCACATCTTAAAGGGGAGATGATCATATTTACTTACTTCAATACAACTCTTTCTAACCAGCTAGACTTATATCGGTTAAACTTTACATAGTAGAGGAAGATACCTCAGAATATTATTCCTGTCTTACATTTTAAAGAGGAGATATACAATATACTTGTAGTATTATAAGGTATCCTTTTTTGAGGTAATTCAAGTTTCAATTCTTCCAATCATCAATGATTTTTTTGAGTGCAGACAGTATAGTGATACAAGTATATTTGATTTATTTGTAGATTTTAGCAGAAATTTTCCAAGACTTACTAGCCAACAAGGATGACTATCTACGAGCTGTGAGGGCATTGTTACGAGAGATTGCAAGAAACCTACGACATGATGTCCATTTCTCAGCCTTTTGTTTGGGACTCATGCAAGAGAGAAATGAACCAAAGTTTTCAGATATGGAACCTGCATTTAAGGTATTAAAATAAGGATCTGTTTTATTTCAGAACAGGGTATTAAATTTATATATATGGACAAGTGTAAACTTTATAATTCATCAGTGTTGTGATAACAATAAAACATTTGTACTATAGACATTTTTAGATTGGAAATGGAAATATTTTTGATATTTCAATTCTATAAATTTGGATATTTTCCCTTGTTGCTATTTTCGCAATTCTAATGCATAAACATTTTGCACAGGGGAGCAATACATGTGCCCTTCAGATCAGTATTGGTGATTGTACAAACTATTCACACAGGTGATATTTTCGCCTATTTAACATGATTGATGAATCAGTGAAAATAATCCTTGCATACATAATCATAAATGCATGCAAACATTTCTGAATTTACAGTACTTCAATGAACATAGTAAATATGATGGATTGTAGGATCTTTGTGTAGATCAATAGATTTAAAGTCTTTAGATTAGTCATAATTATAAATATCAGTATCTTGTTTAGGGAAATCGAAGGAAACTGTAAATACATATGTTTTAATTTCTGAGAGTTCAAAATTGCACTTGACACTGCAAGTTTTCGTGAACAGAACTTATGTTAAGCTATTGTGCTATTCCAGACTTTACTTAATCATGTTTTGAAAATAAGGATTGGACACTTCCAACCCCTTTCTTAGAAATTTGTATATTTGTTTCCAGTTAATATTAGCATGTTTATTGATGTGAAAATAACCATAACATTCATGTGTATTAATATGTTGACGTAACTGTATTATTATGTTTATATAGGAGAGATATGCATCCTCTGTAGCAGATATAGTAGCACTGACTGTGTTCCTGGGCATTACTCCAACCATCAGGGAAACAGCTGTGCCATCTGTCAAGTCAGAAAAGAAAGGTATTCACTTGATTTATGGATTGGAAGATGTTGAATTTTCAAGATTTTTTAAGAGAGTTTTTCTATTATTCAGAAATTTGAATAATAAAAATAATTATGTTGGCAAATTCTCTTATTAATAATATAATTTTTTTTTAATATTTCTTAGCCAAGAAAATAGTTTTTTAGAACTGAAAACTATTATTGATGTATGTAAAATTTGTGAGAAACAAAAGTGTTTAAAAATTGTTAATATTATTTTTTGGTGATTTTTGTAGATTTGGATGCCTTGCACACCTTCCGAGACCAGATTAATATTATTTTTTGCTGATTTTTGTAGATTTAGAAGCCTTGCACACTTTCCGAGACCAGATTTCAGTTATACAGAGAGATGCTGTTTGGTGGTTACATACAGTCTTACCAAAGTTCATGGAAATCAAACCAGCAGAATATGTTCACTGGTGAGTCTTCATTTAACCAAATATTATATAAAATTTAACAAACTTAAAATCTGTGAACTTCGGAATTTTTTACGATGCTTTTATTAAAGGGAGGTTGCGACAGAATAGGTTTCACAAAAATAAAAATTTACATTTTCTATTTGATAGCATTGTTTGTATGTTACATTTCCTGAAATCACCATTATCAATCTCACATTTTTGTCCATTGTTCAACAATCACAATAATAAATAACGCCCTGCCTACGATAGTAAGGGCTTTATGTTTATATGTCTTTTGTCTGTTCATCCTTCAGTCCTGTATTAAGTTATAGCTTGGGTTCAAGGCAGTTTACCATGAAGTTGTGGTCACATCAACTTTGAACTTAGTACACATGTTCATTATCATGTGAACTATTTCAAATTTATGTCAAATTATGTTTTTTTACCCAAATTTTGTCATTTCATGTTTAGTAAATAGTCTATTTACATTCAAATTTTCCAATGGATTAAGATGTTAGTTGGCTGAACATGATTTTTGTCTTTGCTGCATTTTTTAAAATTTTGATTTCAGTCTACACAAAGTACTGTTTATGGAGAATGTAGAACAATATCATAACAAAGACAACTGGCCACCAGATGTTGATAGAACGTAAGACAATTTATTCATTAAGATTTTTAAAGGGGAGATAATAAACAATATTTTATGCTCTTGTTGATGTAATTATGTATAAGGGAATATCCAAGTTCAACATTTTAAAAACAATTCACAAGAATACATATTTGCTTTATTTTTCTACTTATAAAAGCTAGGTAAATAAATCGCTCATGAACCTAGTTAGTTTACAGAACTGTATTGCAAAAGCTTCAATCATGACAGTCGCCTCTTATCGCTATAGAAACAATAACCCTGCCGAAAAAAAGAAGACAAAACTACAATGTCAAAACATAGACTAAATTTATTCCTCCATCATATTTGGATCAAAAGGTTCAATTGTTAACTTGAAATTATAATGGAAAATGGGGGTTTTGTGTATTTCTTCATGACAAGAAATTTCCTATACACACATGACAAACCAAATAGCAAAGGAACAGCACTTTTATCATGGTTCTTCATCCTAAAGTCACAGTGACAGATCATACTTTACAGTTTGTTTATGAGGTTGGCAGCAGAAGTGCCTGTATTAGAAGATACATTGATGAGAGTATTAGTTATAGGACTATCTCCAGACCTTCCTCTTGGACCTGCAGATGCTGTGGACCTGGCAGACCAATTGATTAAAAGGGCTGCATATCTAAGTTTAGATGGTCAGTATTTGTTTTAATCAGAATTATATACAAGGAAAATTTATATACTGTAATTAAGTCTCCCAAACGAAGTTTGGGAAGACTTATTGTTTTTGCTCAGTTCTTATTATTATTATTATTATTATTATTCTTCTTCTCTTCTTCTTCTTCTTCTTCTTCTTCTTCTTCCTCTTCCTCTTCCGCCGCTTTTAAATTTGAACTTGTCCACACCTGTTCTCCAAAACCGCTTGTCAGATTAACTTAGGGTTTCACAATATGCTAGACTAACATGTCTAGTGGTGCAATCAGGGTTTTGTTTGTGCAATGGGGTTTATAAAGGGGTACTTTGAGGGGCAAAAAGAAAAGAGGGTTTTACTATAGAACCCTATGGGATTTTATTTTTTTAAATTTTCATATGATTATAAATTGAAAACCGTTTGTGATAGACACAATCTTTTTAATTTAATTGAAAATGTTCTAAATAATAAAGCTCATTAAATGAAATACAGGGTTAGTCCCCAGGGGTCACCCCCACCCCCTGCCATTTAAGAAAGTTCTAATATCTTGTAAGTGGTCAAGATCCCCACCCCTAAATCATATATATTCTGGTTTGTCATGCTAAGATGGTTTGAATGATATACAGGGTTAGTCTCCAGGGGTCATCCCCACCCCCTGCCATTTGAGAAAGTTCTAATATCTTGTAAATGGTCGAGATCCCCACCCCTAAACCATATATATTCTGGTTTGTCATGATAAAGCAAATCAAATGAAATACAGGGTTAGTCCCCAGGGGTCACCCCCACCCCCTGCCATTTTAGAAAGTTCTAATATCTTGTAAGTGGTCAAGATCCCCATCCCTAAACCATATATATTCTGGTTTGTCATGCTAAGATGGTTTGAATGATATACAGGGTTAGTCCCCAGGGGTCATCCCCACCCCCTGCCATTTGAGAAAGTTCTAATATCTTGTAAATGGTCGAGATCCCCGCCCCTAAACCATATATTTTGGTTTGTCATGCCAAGATGATTTGAATGATATACAGGGTTAGTCCCCAGGCATCACTGATACATATAACTTTACTGGACCAAACCAATTTTCACTGGACTTTGCCCAATGTCAGGCAACCCTGGAAATTACGAATTATGGGAGCTTCGTTTTGGAGACTTCGTAACAGCATCCTGTTACAATCATTTCTTGTTTCATATTGTTGTTTTCTGCCATTTTTCCAACTTGACACAAAGTGGAAACTATTGGAAAATGTATTTATCTCATATATCATATTTAGATAAATATCTAGCATTTTAGTAATAGATTGTAAAAGCAGTTCAAGACATAACTTTAAAACAAGTCTTACTTTTTACACATTGTGACTTGAATAAATAGTTTGTCTCATTGGCACTCATACCACATCTTCTTATTTATACTTACAATATTTTTACAATGAGACATCAACTTTGACTATAAACATCAGTTTAAGGAATGATAAGTTCATAATATTTCAATAAAAATATTTCAAAGGTCATTACTAAGTCTGTATTGTTTTGTTTTAGGTCAAGTAGTTTTACAGATGGAAAGACTGGAGTTAATTGATGCCTTACTGAATCTGTGTTCATATAGGCACCCAGTAGATATATCATTACCTAAGGGGTAAGATAATCATTATTCCTCTTCAAAAGGTTTCTTTACGTAGGGGATATATAAAAAAAAGAGGCGGAAGATACCAAAGGGACATTCACAATTCATAAGTCGAATATAAACTTCTACCATGGCAAAAAAACAAAAAAATGAAGAAAAGCCATACGTTGAGTCCACAAAGTACTACATAGAAATCTAAAGACTGACCACCATGAATCCAACCAAAAACCAGGAATGATCTTAGGTGTTTCGGATATACATGTATCTTGTTATTGCTCCTCTCTTTGTCACACTGTCTTTTTATGCCGTGCCGTGGCGGAGGTGGATTAAGTTTTACACTTGTCTGTCTGTACATTGGTCCATACGTCTGTTGTATGTCCCAAAATTAGTTTCCGTTCTCTAACTAAAGTTTGCCTCAACCAAATGCTATAAAACTTTTACACAATGCTTATTACCACAAAACACATCTATAGTTTGAATTTGGGTTGCATCAATTTCGATGTTCTTGAGTAATGTCCCTTTATGAATGGAAAAATTGCTGAATTTGCAACCCATTCTTCATTTATTTTTTTTATGTTTGTTGATTTGGGTTTAAATGATCCGATTGAACAAATTTTGCATGATGGCATTGGAAGTGTGCTTAGATGGAAGACATATGCAAATGGATTTGCTTTAAATGTAAGTGTTTTTATTTATTTAAAAGGAATTTTGTGATTTTAGACTGGTTAATGCTGTAAATGGAAGAGATAAAATCAAAATCATGAATGAAAATGATTCAAATTCTAATTACTGATTTTACTTTGCAGATACAAACCACCAACATTAGCTATATCTAACCTATACTGGAAATCCTGGGTTATTTTACTGGTTCTGTCTGCCTTCAATCCACGCACATTTGGTCTGACATCGTGGGAAAATTATCCAACACTCAAGTGTATGATGGAAATGGTTATGACAAAGTTAGTATGATACTTTTTAGCATTATTTATTAGTTTATTCATATTTAAGACAGAATATTGAATATGAAGAAATGAAAATAGAAGATTTACAAGCAAAACAAGTCTTCCTTAGAAAAGGAATTTAAACACAATTTTGATGCAAACTTTGCATTTCAGAAAGGTCCTTTGAAAGAGGAGCATGGGATTAAAAACCCCAATTTTACGGTCCACTGAACATAGAAAATGATAGTGCGAGTGGGGCATCCGTGTACTATGGACACATTCTTGTTAATTAATCTAATTATACAAATACTGTAAATTCAAAAATTTGTGATATGTTTTATTATTGCAAAAATTGTGACATGATAGATTTCTTAAAAATTAGCATTTAAAATTTCCTAAGGGTTATCTGTATGTAGTATTTCCTGAAATCACAATACTGGGTAATTAATCTGGCATTTTGTATCCTATGTGTAATAAATAACTTAATTTTTCTGGATTTAAAATGGTTATCAGGAAAGAATTTATATTTTCTATATACATTTTACAGAAATTATGTTTTTCCACCGCCAACCTCAGTAGTGGAGGATAAAACAGTCAATGATATCATAGATCAAGAAAGACAGGTTAGTAATATAAGTAAATGGACAGAAACCAAAGGATATCTAGTCTTTAACAATAGCTATGTTGCATTGTTATGTGATAAAGTCATTTGTAGTTGTAGGTTCTAACCATCAACACTGATGTTTGACTCCTGTCATTTGGAATGTATTTTATTCCTCCACTACCCTGTGTCTTGGGAATAAAGTGTTACTCCTGTCATTTGGAATGTATGTTATTCCCCCACTACTCGTTGGCTTGGGAATAAAGTGTTACTCCTGTCATTTGGAATGTATGTTATTCCCCCACTACTCGTTGGCTTGGGAATAAAGTGTTACTCCTGTCATTTGGAATGTATGTTATTCCCCCACTACTCGTTGGCTTGGGAATAAAGTGTTACTCCTGTCATTTGGAATGTATGTTATTCCCCCACTACTCGTTGGCTTTGGAATAAAGTGTTACTCCTGTCTTTTGGAATGTATTTTATTCCCCCACTACTCGTTGGCTTGGGAATAAAGTGTTACTCCTGTCTTTTGGAATGATTTGGAATGTATGTTATTCCCCCACTACTCGTTGGCTTTGGAATAAAGTGTTACTCCTGTCATTTGGAATGTATGTTATTCCCCCACTACTCGTTGGCTTTGGAATAAAGTGTTACTCATGTCATTTGGAATGTATGTTATACTCACTTCTCGTTGGCTTTGGAATAAAGTGTTACTCCTGTCATTTGGAATGTATGTTATTCCCTCACTACTCGTTTGCTTTGGAATAAAGTGTTACTCCTGTCATTTGGAATGTATGTTATTCCCCCAATACTCGTTGGCTTTGGAATAAAGTGTTACTCCTGTCTTTTGGAATGTATGTTATTCCTCCACTACTCGTTGGCTTTGGAATAAAGTGTTACTCCTGTCATTTGGAATGTATGTTATTCCCCCACTCCTCGTTTGCTTTGGAATAAAGTGTTACTCCTGTCATTTGGAATGTATGTTATTCCCCCAATACTCGTTGGCTTTGGAATAAAGTGTTACTCCTGTCTTTTGGAATGTATGTTATTCCCCCACTACTCATTGGCTTGGGAATAAAGTGTTACTCCTGTCATTTGGAATGTATTTTATTCCCCCACTACTCGTTGGCTTGGGAATAAAGTGTTACTCCTGTCATTTGGAATGTATGTTATTCCCCCACTACTCGTTGGCTTTGGAATAAAGTGTTTCTCCTGTCTTTTGGAATGTATGTTATTCCCCCACTACTCGTTGGCTTTGGAATAAAGTGTTTCTCCTGTCATTTGGAATGTATGTTATTCCCCCACTACTCGTTGGCTTGGGAATAAAGTGTTACTCCTGTCATTTGGAATGTATGTTATTCCCCCACTACTCGTTGGCTTGGGAATAAAGTGTTACTCCTGTCATTTGGAATGTATGTTATTCCCCCACTACTCGTTGGCTTTGGAATAAAGTGTTACTCCTGTCATTTGGAATGTATGTTATTCCCCCACTACTCGTTGGCTTTGGAATAAAGTGTTACTCCTGTCTTTCTTTCTGTCAGTTTGAAATCTTCAGGACTCAAGGTATTCCAAATTTATTTTTTTTCATTTAACCAGTCAATTTTTTTACCCTAACTCTAAAAGTGTGGGCTATATTGCAATCACCCTGTCCATCTGTCTGTTTGTCAAAATAATATTTTTAATATGTTGAATGAAATTTATTTCGTCACAAATTTCTCCAGTACTACTGAACAAAATGATTTTATATTTTGTTATCAGCGTGAAAATGATAAGTTATAACTTCTCAGAGCTTTCTGGTTCTGTAGGAAACCTATTTCCTGTTTGCTGATGCTGTGAATTATGAGTGGGGGTATTCTAGCGTGACAACTTGTACATTCTTGTGCAGCTAAGGAGAAAATATTTTTAGGACAACACTTGTGTTATGTGTATTAATGTAATTCACCAAAATGTTCCTGAAATTTGCACATTTTTGCTTAGGGCTATTCCATTAAAATATATGTGGGAGGGTAGGAAGAGAAGTTTAATTATTGAATGTAGGTCATGGGTCTTTTTCCAGTATGCGTCTATTACCATTATGCAAAATTATCTAAAAAATGGTTCTTGGTTGTAGGGATATTTTGAAAGTCCTTTCCTACCCTCCCACATACATTTTAATGGAATAGCCCTTAAAATCTGAAAATCTCACTTATAACATCACTTAGGCTTAATAAGCAAAAACATGTATCCTATCCTCAGGTTATCAAGTTTGTGTATGATAGTTAATTACAGAAAAAAGGTCACTTTATGTTTCAACTAACCTATTATTCATGGATTTAGCCTGTAGACTTAAAAAAAAAATCATGAGAATTGGAAAAACCAGCGGCATTTGTGTTTTCCTGAGAAATTATTTAATGACCTAATTGTAAAGTATACCATTTCAAAATAATTGTAGAAATTGATTTTTGCAAAGTTATTACTTTAACAAGATTTTAAACGTTGAAAATACGTTGTTGAATTAATTTGTCATATTTTCCCATTTAGATTGGAGAACAAGAAAAGCAACAGATATTAGAATTTGAAAGCCATTTAGCTGCTGCAAGTAAAGTGACCATTACAGAGGCTAACAGTCTGTTGATAGCACAGCTGACCTCCATGGACCCTAAGTAAGTCTTAACTTTTTGATAAAAATGATAAAAACACACTAAGAGAGCAATTTGAAAAACAACATACAATAACTACTTGACCAAAGGAACAAAGACAAAAAACCGAATGGCGGCCGCCCTATAGTGATCAGTCTGTCCGTCCGTCCGTCCGTAACAAATCGTGTCCGCTCTATATCTAGAGAACCGTTATGAATTCAAAGTTTATACTTGACATGTATATTAACCAACACCAGAGGGTGTGTCATAATGTATGTTCAACTTCCTAGGTCTAAGGTCAAGGTCAAAAACTTTGGTTTTAGTTGACAACCCCATGTCCTATGGTAAAGATCGTGTCCGCCCGTTATGATTTCAAACTTTATACTTGATATGTATATTAACCAACACCAAAGGGTGTGTCATAATGTATGTACAACTTCCTAGGTCTAAGGTCAAGGTCAAAAACTTTGGTTTTAGTTGACAACCCCATGTCCTATGGTAAAGATCATGTCCGCTCTATATCTTGAGAACCGTTATGATTTCAAAGTTTATACTTGATATGAATATAAAGAAAAATTTTTTTTTAAGATATTTTATCTTCTTTTAAATATTTTCTGTGCATAATAAAACAAAATCAGATATTTGCATTAATTCCCCTTTTTTCATCAATAGTGGAACAGCCAGGAAACCCCCAACTTCAGTTTTAGAACAGATTAAGACCATCAACGATACCTTGCACATTGGTCAGAGATTGTGTAGAAGCAGACAGCCTGACTTTTTGTTAGATATCATTCAGAGACAGGTAAAGCACAATATGACTTATTTACATAACTTACTGAAAGAAAAGATATATTCACATTTTTGTTATTAAACGGATTAGATTTATTGGGGAAAAAGTGAGCATATCCTGTTTTTGAAGGGGACAAATCTTTAAAGCAAAGTTTATGTTTAAAAGTCATATGTTGCAGTTTATGCATAATTATAGTGAAATTTTTCTAATGATTTCTGGCATGTACACATATGACATCTTTTAAAAGATCAATATTTGTGTTATTGTTTTTAATGACTATTCCAGAAAAGGTTTCAATTGGTGCTTGAAGGATACAAAAAAATAAGAGTTTGTGAGTGTTATGGGTTTGCAGTACTTTTTAGAAAGCAAATACACCAATTTCGAATTAAATTTGCAATCGTAATAATAAATTCTCACAATAATTTCTGAATTTACAGTACTGCAAATTTAATTCGAAATTTGTGTATTTGCAGTACTGTAAATTCAGAAATTATTGCGAGAATTTATTATTGCGATTATTGAAGAATAGACAAGAATGCGAGATTAATTATTGCGATTTCAAGAAAATCTGCATACAGGTATATGTATCAGATATCAGAATGCGAGTACTTATTATTGCTTTACTCACCAATTAGCATTATTCGCAATAATAAAAACCTCGCAATACTTTCTGAATTTACAGTAATTAGTGAATATACTTTGTAGCTATACAATTCTGTGTTATAAGTGATAAATGTTTCATATGGACCTTTGTTAACGTTCATCAGTAAGTGTAATCTCTTGATTCGTTTTCCAGGGTACATCTAAGTCTATGCCATGGTTGGCAGAGTTAGTTGATGGGAATGAAGGTTCACTACAAGTTTTACCCGTACAGTGTTTGTGTGAGTTTCTCTTACAAGATTCAGAATCGTCCATGTTTGATCCAGATGAAGAGTCATCGCATGTCGAAAAACATAAAAGAAGACAGGTAAATAGAAATTATTGGATTGATTGAATACGAGTAAAACAAAAATAGATTAGACCATTGTATTATTGTAATATTTTGGCATGTTAAATCTAATTTTCTACATTTTGTTACAGAAAATGAAGAAAAAGGAGCAGTTATTAAAACATCTACAAAACTTGGTACACGGAGATTCTGACCAGGAAGAAACAGCAGGACAAGTTCTAGACTACTTCCTGAAGAGGTTGTCGTCACAGCAACCATCCAATAGATTACTGGCTATAAAGGTAAGTTACAGCTGGACAAAACTGCTGAAAAGGTGGGAATTTTCTTGAGAAGTTTTTTATTTCGCTGATTTTAATTTAAGGTTGAAATCGAGAAAAATATCCCTGGTGTCAATTTGAAGATTAGAATCAGGGGCAAAAACCTGAAAATTAACACTTGCAAACAGATATGGCCTTGGAAATTGTGAAATTTAAACTTGAGGATAAAAAACTACATTACAATATACATAACAAGGCAAAGGGGGAAACCTGTATTTTTACCTTGTCTTATATGAATACAATTCACCCTATATTTTCATGTAATTGTTATTTCAGGGACTATGGATGGTGTTGTCACAGAAACCAATGGAGGAAATGATAGATATAGATTATACCAACCAATCAAAACACAGCTGGCTCCTTACAGACCTACCCCAAATTCCAGTCTTCACCCAAGTCAAAGAACAAATATGTGTTGCCATTAGACAAGTATTTATTTTCACCAGTCAAATTCATCTATGTTTCCAAATATTCCAAAATAATTCTTATATGATTTGCATATTAGGGAATACGTTGATATGATTGGTTGAGAGGACTTCTTGTAGTTGTTCTTGACGTATTTTTCGATAGACAACGTTGACTGAACTTCTTTTCGTAACCAATGTAAACAAGATGGCGGCGATAATGACACAATCCGGATCGACGTTAACAAAATTTATTTTCATTTCACGTCAATCGTTAAATTTAGATCAGGAAAAAATACTCACCAAAGATACCAGGCTTGGACTTACTTTTTGTCTATAAAAGACTCATCAGTGATGCTCAAATAAACCAGCAAACAAATAGTTAATATTTGTTTGCTTGTGTAGATTAATGTACAAAATTGTACTGCCACATAATACCTTTATCTGTTCAATTGATCAAAAGAATTCTTTAATAACTTTCTAAAAAAATTAACATGATGACATAATTAAACTAACTGATTAAATATTTTTTTATTTTGTAGGCTTGTCAGATAGAGACGGATCCATCTCTGATTAGTTCTTACATTATATTCCTGTCTACACAGTCCCAGGATCAGACTCTCCATCAGTTAGATGATGTTGTCGTGGTAAGTGCTCTTTTCTTATGAAGCCGGTAACCAATCAAATTGCTGGTTACTTCATCATTTTGATAGTCTACTTTGAGGTCATTTTAAAATTAAGGAAGGTTGGATGTCTTCCGCCATCTTGGATTGTAAAATAGCAGAATATAGGTCTAGATTTTTACTGCATTTCATTTGTGAGACTTTTCATTTAAATGAAGAAAATTGTGTTATTTATCTTATAATTACAACTGTTTATCAAATACAAAGTATTTAAAAAAAAAAAAGAATCCATTTTACCCTTAAAAGGGAATGATATGATAGAACACTGATTTCTAAGTGCCTTTTATTGCCTGAACTTTCTAGACATTTGATGATTCAAAGCTCAATATGCAGTGATTTTGCAAGCGCTCGTCACTTTCGTAATTTACGAAACTGTTTTCAAAATGACGAAAGTATTTCAAATCAATTTCGTCACTTAAATTTGGGAAGTTTAAAAATATTTTAGCATGAAAATACTATAATTCTACCTGTCTACATGTTTCTAACAAGTTTATGACCCTCAGCTAATTAACATTTACAACAGGTGTTATAAAGTTGTGATTACAGCTAATCCGCTTATCGCCATCGGATGGGTCACTAATCCGGTTAATTATTTTCCCCAGTAAAATTAGTCAGTCTGCATTTTAATTTCAATGCTTCTCAAGGCCAACGACCAGATTTTGCAGTTCGCTTGTCGTAGTTTCGTCATTTGAACAAAATTGTTTTCCCCCGGACAATTCGCTTTTTAATTTCAATATTTCTAAAACGATCATAACTTGCAGTTCGTTTGTCGTAGTTTCGTCAGATGATCGTATTTTCGTCATCTTTGATGTTATAACTTGACAAGATTGTCAGTATCTGTAACATTCAGTAAAAGCCTGGAATCAGTAGAAACTGTTATAACTTGACAAGATTTCCAGTATCTGTAATATTCAGTAAAAGCCTAGCCTGGAATCAGTAGAAACTGTTATAACATTACAAGATTGTCAGTATCTGTAACATTCAGTAAAAGCCTGGAATCAGTAGAAACTGTTATAACATGACAAGATTGTCAGTATCTGTAACATTCAGTAAAAGCCTGGAATCAGTAGAAACTGTTATAACATGACAAGATTGTCAGTATCTGTAACATTCAGTAACAGCCTGGAATCAGTAGAAACTGTTATAACATGACAAGATTGTCAGTATCTGTAACATTCAGTAAAAGCCTGGAATCAGTAGAAATCTGTTTTAAGCATAACAATTGTTCTAGTACCAGTAACAAACATTCAATTTCGATTAAAAAGATAGAACTTTATTCAAAACGTTCAGAAGTGTTTTCACGATAAAAACTTCCATCATCATCAACGAGTCAAACACGTGCTTCCTTTACGATTTACTGCGCATGCGTGAAAGTATTCCTATGAATTTATTGACACTAAAACGTAAAATACGAAATAAATTTAGTGTCAAAATAAATGAGAGAGACAAATATAGTTCTTACTAAGCAAATTGAAATAAAAAAATGAAAATTTCCTGCCTTTTTTTAAACACGAACCCATCCGAAGATGAATCTGGATCCATTCTGAATTTATTATCTACTTGTCACTTCCCGTTTACATTTCATTTGAAAATCGAAAGTAAACGTGATCAATTCTCGATTAATTTACAATTTAGTTATTGGAATCGTTCCATGTGAATTTGTACAAATCCTGGGTTCCAACTTTATAGAAATTAATTCATAATATCGATTTAAACGTCTTATAAGGATAATTATGCAGTGTAATAGTCTTACAAAGTTCAACAAGTTCATTTATACTGTGATTCCTGGTTTTAAAAAAAGGAACCCAACTTTTGTTCATCAGGAATATCCCTTGAAACTAATTGAAGTAAATTTTGAACTAGATTTTCAGATCTTATATCCTAATCTTCATATTTAAGTGACACATCAGTCAAATCATGCAATTAGTCCTTCAAAATCTGATAAAGATGTATAGTTAGTAATATACATACATCTTTGGTCCCTTGCTATTACCCCAAAAAATGTTGATTTTCATCTCGCGCAAAAGTGACAAAAGCCCTCAAAATCCTAGCTTAAACCCTGCAATATGATGTTAATATTTTCTTTGTTTGATATCAGTTATATCAGTTCACTAATTTCTAAATGTCTGTCTTTTTGTTTTTGGGTTTTATTGTTATCATCATTAACCCCATTTTTGTTCTCAATTAATACTTAACATTGTTTAACAATTTCCTGTAGGATATGGCACAGCTTATAGTGGAGAGAAATACAATCATCAATCATATCTTACCAGAGGAAGGGAGAGAAAACTCTGCCGAGACACATCAAACACTCAAATCTCTGATCAGTCTGTATAACAATTATCTTAAGAAAGCTAAAGAACCACAGAAAGAAGGATATTCATGGGTATGTATGATGTCTTGGGCTATTATAACAGATTCTAATTTTTCGGTGATGATTATAAATTAGTTCAGTTCTTGGTAGAAATTTGAAATGAAAGCAAGGTTCAGAACAAGATCAATTTTGGATGAAAGGGAACTTTAAAGTATTATACTCAAGATATTCTTTAAGAAACACAAATGAAAAAAACCCAGAAAAGTATACAGCTATTGTAACAAATTTCAGATGAAGAATTATGGCCAGTAAACACTACTTTGCAGTTCCCCTATAGATAATAAATGTTTGCACCCTGAATTAGCAACTTAAAGGAATTTCAGATAAAAATGTTATTATTTTTACTTCAACTCAAAGTATTTCCTTGTTAAAAGTATAAGAAATAGCTGAGTAGGTTAGGGAAAGTAAAGTTCTTCTCAGAATTCAGTTGTAGTTTCTATATTTGAATGCATGTAACTTGTACAGTTACCAAAGTAGACTTTAATCAATAGAAAATATTATAGTATGTTATAGTATGTACTTGACTTTTTTAGTCAAACACCCAGGACCAGATTTTACTCCAATGGAAGGAAGGAGATTCAGCAACCATGCATATATTAGTTGTCCATGCTATGATTATACTGTTAACCTATGGACCTCCTAACTGTAAGTATTTGTGTATGACGTATCAAGATATCAAATTCACTTTGTTTGAAACCTTACTGGAATGCATGCATGTTTTTTGTACATTAAAGAACATTTGCAACATTTCAATAATACAAAGGCTGATTGTACAAGACAATTTCTTATTTTGCCAAATATGTCCTTCATTGCCATTGTAGGTCAGATTATACATTCTTCTTGCAAAGCCAACCTGTTTGTTTCATGTTATAAATGCTGATAAAAAATTTCAGTCTTTTCTGATATTGTAATATTAATCACTGAACATTTCTATATCAATTTTCATGGAAGTGTTCAGTTCTAATATTAGTTCATTAAGAACTTTTAGAAGAAATATATGGTTTTGAAGCCAAAATTGTTCAGATAGATGAGGTAAATTTAATTTGATTAGAATTTGCATTTGAAAAACCAGTTGCAATGCAAAATTGGTTCAATCATATAATCAGAGAAAACTACATCTTGTATTAAATAACCTTCTTTTTTATGCCCCTGCCGTAGCGGAGGGTGCATTAAGGTTTCCCCTTGTCCGTCTGTACGTCCGTACGTACATCCCAAAATTGGTTTCCGTTCTCTAACTTTAGTTTGCCTCAACCAAATATTATGAAACTTATACACAATGCTTATTACCACAAAACACAGATCAAATTCGAATTTTGATGGCATCACTTTTGCTGTTCTAGAGTTATGCCCTCTACAAATGGAAAAATTGCTGAATTTTTCGATTCTGTTCTCTTACTTTAGTTTGCCTCAACCAAATGTTATGAAACTTATATACAATGCTTATTACCACAAAACTCAGATCAAGTACAAATTTGGGTAGCGTCACTTCTACAGTTCTTGAGTTATATCCCTTTATAACATTATATGCAAGCGGGGGCATCATCTGTGTCCCATGGACACATTCCCCATTTATTTGCTTTTAAACTAAGGTATCTTAAATATGTTCCAAAATTGTTGAAGGTATGATGTTATAAGGTAACAATTCATTATCTGCAAAAGAAATTTGCAAAAACTCACAGATACACATTTTCATTATACTGTTGTACAATGTCTAGGTGAAAGTCAGTATAAAGAGTTACTGGATACATGGTTCCCAGAAGGTGGTAGTCCTCCATCAGCCTTCCTGCTGGATACATCAGAAGAAGCTTTACTGTTACCTGATTGGTTAAAACTTAGAATGATCAGGTCACATGTTCTGCAGCTAGTTGATGTTGGTAAGTTTATATGTATTGCTTGCATTAATTACCATATTCATGTCTGGCTGTGCCATGATTCTCTGCATTGTATTCATTTTGATGTTATAGTTAATTGTTGTGATTTTGTAATGGATTGCACGTGTATTTTAACGTGATCCTGTTTTCTTCAATTCATCATTATAGAATCATGCATTTAACTAAGTGATTTGATTTCATCCGTCATTTTTTTTTCAAATGGTTGATTACTTTGTCATCATGAATATGAGATATCTGCTGTTGGATGTAAAACAATCAACAGTATATAAATCAATCAATTAATGATAGATAACAACATTAAATGTAGACTAAAAAAATGAGAAGTGACGTCTGAATTAATAAATATTTTCGTGGCATATAATTTTCATGGTTTTCTTTATTGCAACCTGTTTAATAATGTGATGGTCTGTATATATGTAGTTTTTGGAGACTTTTTAATCTCAGATTCTCATAGTCACCACAAAAATTGTACAATTACTGTCTTTTGATGAGGTAAATATGTGATTTTATTGATATTGAAAGAACTTATATTCACTGAGGCCAACAGCTGAAGTAAATATCATTATTTCAAAAGCCATATAAACCAATTATTTATAGAAACAAAAGAGTAATTGTTTTATTTCATATTCCAAGAGAAAAAATGTGTTTAATGAAAAGAATTTACTCAAACCAATTGTATACAAAATTTTTTACCATAATTATACATGTAACAGCATGTGACGTTTAGCATGATGAATATCACTTTTATTCACTAGGTGAATATGCTGTTTTATTCAAAATCAAATTCATATATAAATGACTTGATTGTTGATATCACTGAAAAATCAATTTAATGTGTCTTTGTTTAAATCTTTACAGCCCTACAAGACATAGAACCAGGCCAACTTTTATTATTTATCCAGTCCTTTGGTATACCAGTTGAGAGTATGACTTCATTACTGGCCTGTCTAGACAAAGCAGTGACCCTTGACCCAGGACTACTGGAGGAATCTGTAGAAGATAAACAATACATGGCCCAATTGATAGAGATACAGCACATGAGAGGGGCCAAAGGAGGAGAACTTTTTTACAAGTTACTAAGGCAAGGGGACCTAGCCACTAATCTTGGTAAGTAAAGTACTAAGACATCTTCAGAATACAATGTAAAAAGTATAATAATGTTCCGTACCAAAATTGATGGCTATGCTTTAACTAACTTTGCTGCCAATTGAATTTGTCTGAGTTGTGGATATTCCTAGAAGAAACAGCTATATTTTTAAAATAAATTTCCATTTAAGTTTTTAAACTTTTACACTTAACAATGACTTCTTTTGGCAATCAAAACTCATAATTCATATCATATATTTAAAGATTTTGAAAAAAAACAATAATTCTATACTAATTAGCTATAGCAGATAAAAAATGAATATCATTACCTAAAAAGATTTCCTTGATGAAAAAAAGAAAGATAGGTTTTGGCTTAAAATACTAGTGCTTTTAAGTTTTATATCTTTGTGATATTTTGTTTTCACATTTTTCTTGTCTCTTATTGTGATGTTCCTTAAAAGAAAAAATTTCAAGTGGGAATATTTTCATCTTAATCGGGATAGTAGCAAAAATAAACCCATCTTGATATTTTCCACTTTACAGTATAAGAAAAATTAGATTTTCAGGTAAGAATAATATATCTCTGGATTTTTCTTTAAATGAAATGTTTGGGAAAAATGAATGTTAAACCGAATGAAAAATTTGAGTTTTAGGTAGGATTTAGATGTCTCTAGTTTTTCATAAGAAATGTATGGGAAAAATGAATGTTAAACTGTATGAAAGATAATAAATTATCTGTGTTTACAGCCTCTAAAGATGTAGAAATGAAAGATAAATCAGTAAAACAAAGTGGTTGGTGGCAGAAATCACATCTACATAAAACTACAGCAGCTTGGGATAAAGAACAAATTCAAACTCTATTGTTTAAGGTACAAATATTCACAAAATATCTTAATTTATATCAACTTTATAGGTACATTGTACTGTAAGATTATCTTAAACCAGATATTCACAAAATATCTTAATTTATATCAACTTTATAGGTAAATTGTACTGTAAGATTATTTTATACCAAATATTCACAAAATATTGTACTGCAAGATTATTTTAAACCAAATATTCACAAAATATCTTGATATATACCAACTGTAAAATAAAAGTCAGTGCTTCAAAATGATTTTTTTTTGCAATACATGAATGGCACATTTTGGACTTTCCTCAAATTGATATAGTAGCATATAAGATAAATGAGTTTTAAATTGTGCAATGAGAAATTTACTAATGGGCATGTCTGGCATATAAAATGTTAAGCCTGGTATATTTACTTTTTTCAAGCATTAAGACAGATTTGAAAAAGATGTAATGGAGCAAGACAGTTTTTTTTTGTTATTATTTTAGGTTTACTGTTCAAGTGGGAAAAGTTCTCCAGATGACCATAGAAACTACCAAACACTCCTGACAGTAAGTTTAAAATCCTACAGTGTTTAAGCTCTGCAATTTCAATACTGTCAACTCAGAAATGAGTGCGAGTTTTTTATTATTGCGAATAATGCGTCTGGGTGAATATTGCAATAATAACAAATCTTATTAATTATTTTTGCAATTTTGTCCATACTCCAAGCATTGCAATAATAAATCCATGCAATAATTTCTCAATTTACAGTATACTTTTCAAGATGACTTTAGTCCTTATTAAGAAAAAAATTACTTCATTATAGCTTAGGAAAACCTGGAATAGATGGATATTGAAATAGCTCAAAGAATCATAGACCGGGTCTTATCAAGTAATGAAAAATATGGTCAGTTTCTTCAGCCTTTCTAACAGTATACATATTGAAATTCTTCACAAGTATTTCATATTTAGGGAAGTATATAAGTAGTTACTCCTGACCAAGATAGGAAATTTTTACCTTGATTAACTACTTTATGAAATGTTTATATAGATAAGTATTTAATGTTCTTATTGTGTTCAAAACAAGCAAGTAATTTAATGAAATATTCAAGAAAATAGTTTGTTTGTATTTCAATGAAACTAAAAGCATTATTATGAGTTACTTACTATTACAGTGTTTATTTGATATTTTTCAGACTATATCCAGGGCATCTAATATAACAATAGTACAAAATATTGTTTCTGGAATTCTGGAGGTGAGTACTTTCAGATTAATTGTGAAGCCTCACTTTATCTCAAACAAAAAAAAAGCGTGTATCCACTAGTCAAGGTTTTTCTTACATTAAAAAATTCAGTTCAAAGTTTAATTACATTAGTTCAAAATATAGAAGATATCATTAAAATAATGAAAGAATTGTTAATTTTTCATAATGATTTGTATCCCCTCTCCTAAAAAAGCAACAAATAAAAAGAACAAACACAAACTTAAAAAGTAAAAAAATAAAGGACCCAGAAAAAATGCATAAAAATACTCAATTTTAAATTTACTAATTTACTGTAAATACTATTTAAGCAATTCAAACATGCAATTCTCCATCTACCCATTCAGTCAATTATCGAAATTCTCTTGGGATTTAATAAGGCTATAGAAACTTTTAAAAGAGATGGCAACAGGTCATGGTTTAAAGTTACTTAAACTATGATGCTGTATTATTTTTAACATGTAGGAGGTCCATTGCCATGTAAAGTGAACATGCTAAACAAAACAGTAAAAGTCCTGGAGTTTTCATGTCTAAAGCATTTCATGAGACAGCTTTCCAAAAGCAACAGTAGCATAGGGAAGAGATCCTGCTTCTTCACAAGTAAAAGGCAAAATTTGTCTTCCATTATTTATGTAAAAGACTTAAGAGAGAATTGAGAGACTTCATTTTAATATATTTTTGTATTGTTTTTTACAGCTGACAATTGGACCAGAAAGAGAGAAGTTTATAAAGGGAATTTTGACCAATCCAAAATCCTGTCCTTTGTTCAAGATTCTGATTTCACACAATGTATGTTATTCATATCAATATTTTATAGTTATGTGGGATTAATTCATGACAGCATATTCCTGCACACTTCTTGACAAAACCTGAAGTAGAGGAATTTCTTTTTTATTGCTGTTCTTCATCTCAAAGTCACAGTAAGTGCTTCAGCATGTGGCAAAATATCACTCCTCACATCAAGATAGCCCCTGGATTCTGTTTCAAGTAACTCTTTGTAGATATACCCTTGATTTCTAGTGCAAGCTAAAATTATCTGCCACTTTGTCCCAGATGATATATCTAAGAGATTCTACCAATAGATTATATACATATCTTCATCCTAAAAATGCATGAAAAATTTACCCCTATAGTAAAGACATTAAGCAGCCAGCTTTTACATATTCACTCAAGTATGCAAAATGACATAAAAGATTGAGAAATAAATAAATATTTTTCATATATCATTACCAATGGGCACTTTATAAATTTCCTAAAATATATAATTTGTTTTACAGACAATTCTAGGACAGAATCTCAACATCTTGATGAACAATTTATACGAGGCTTCAAAAACTCTAAAAAGTTCAGTGCTGACACCTATCTTGGTTAAATACCAGGATGCAAAACTTTCATGTGATCAAGATCAACCACAGCAGACAACACTTGGTACTGTTGACAGTATTCTGCAAGGTAGAAATTCCATTATGATAACATTAAATTTATTCTGTGAAACAAAAAAAGTATATATTTATATAAATGAAGATTCCTTGGGAAAATGGGTATGACAAGTGGATATTCTGCAAATTTCAACTGAAATGTTTTTGAACCTAATGGTTGACAAGCAGCTGTTTTATAGTCTCATAGCAGCACTACAACATTTAGAAACCATTATTGTAAATGAAAATCCATGAAAAAACTAGTATGTAATATCTCATTTCTGCAAACTTACCACACAAAGTTGGTAAACTATAACAAAATGTAAAGTCTGCCTGTAAGTCATAATCATTTACCAATAAACCAATGAACAGCTCCAAATCTGCAGGCATTTGAAAAAAAAGTTCTGACAATTGCAATGTTCATGAAATTTTTTATAGGTGGTAATTGTGCAGAAAATTGGTCAACTGGAACGAAATCGAAATTTCATCTGTATGTAATTATTATTCCCAAGTTACCTAAAATCACCTCAGAGCCAATTAAAAATTATGTATGGATTCATTAAACATTGATATAATACCATCGATCAGGGGAAAGGTCTTAATTACATGCTCATTACTATTTTTCAGATATCAGTACAAAAGCAGAGGAGGGTAAACAAACAGTAGAAAGTCTTGTCAAGAAATGTATGAGAGATTTGATTAAGTCAGGTGATAATACAAAGGCATCAGAAGTGGCGTGTACATCAATACTACATAGGTAAATACTGTTTATAAACTACACATTGAATCTCAAATTTCAGTATGTTGTTGAAATCCAAAATATTTTATATTATATGTTACACAGTATTCAAAGGAAGCAAATAAAATCGGATTAAAAAGTAATTTGGGAAACTTCTGAAACACTTTTCATCCAGTAAATTTTGAGGATTTAAAGAGATTTTTATGGTATTTCCAATTAAAAAGAAGACATTTGTTCAAAGAAAAGATAATACTACTTACGATTTATTAACTTTTGCAAAAATTATAAATATTCAATTGCCATTTATTTTAAATGACCTACATACTTTAATATTATGAGTTGAAAAAGAAAATAATTCTTCGAAAGAGCTACTAGCTGAAGACAAAAAATGCATTTCTTATTAAATTGAATTTTTAGTTTATCAGTATATCATGTACCATATTTTTTCAGAGAAAATACTCATCTAACTAAAGGAATGTCAACCCTACTTGTTGATTGGTTAGAACTTTTAGATCCAGAAATTGTACAATTAGTTCCAGAGTTACAACAACAGTTACTGTTTGCTCAACAGCAGACAACATCAGAGATTACCTCCCCTTCTGGTCAGTCACGAGTTACTTCCCCTGACAGTCGGTCATTCCTATTAGCATTGCTGACTCATCAAACTAGTTGGTCATCATTACACCAATGTATCCATACTGTCCTGAAACCAGATCTTATAAATAGGTATGAAAAATATCATAATATTAACTACTATTGATTCATTAGTATTTGTGGGATAGTCATTTTTGTGGATTATGTGGGTACAGGTGAACCACAAATTTAATGTTCAAGGAAGTACAAAACCTCTATAGGCTTGTACTTTGCAAAACCACAAAATCAAATATCCCTGAAAATACAATTTTTCCTACATCAACGAAAATTGGTACCCATGAAAATAAGTGAATCCACAATAAATTATGTTTTTGAGTTTTTTAAAAGTTTATGAAAGCAATTCATTTTTTCTTTTATGTTTAGAATATATTTAAGGTAATAATTTTCCTTAGATTTAATATTTCTCAAAATAATTTAAAAAACATGAAGATAATTAAAAAATAAAGATATTTTTAAAAGATAGGTAAGTGATCTCATTTTTGAGATGCATATGCTTTAAACAATTCTGTTTATATTTTTACAAAAAAATAAGTGTCTGGATTTTCATATGTAATGTAGGAAATATTCAATTAATTGGTATTTATTTTCATTGTTTTACTTTACAGCTATAATCCAACAGCAGTGTTAGATTTCCTTTGGGCATGCTTACAAATACCAAAGATCTGGAGGGGTAGAGAACAGAAGTTACCCAAGGTATGCTTTATAAATCATAGTGAAAGAATAAAAGAGAATATCATCAACATAAAATAGAAATAATATACCAACCTTAGCAATAGACAGATGTTTATAAATGTGGAGCTGTAAATCACCAGAGTCTTAAAAAATTGTGTCTTAATTTATTGAACCAAAAGTTTTAAATATTTGCAATCAACAAATTCTCCAATTGAAAAAAAAATTGTTTTACAACACAGCTTTGCGAGGCTGACACCTTTCAAAAATTATGAAAAAAGTGCAATTTTCATAGATTTTTTTTTTTAGCTTTCCTTGTCAGTAAGATTCTTTGTGACAATATCTTACATCTGGTTGTTTTAAATCAAATACTTTACAGATCCTGTTAATTCGTAATTTTTTGCATGCATTTATTATTGCAATTTGTGAACTATGGACAAACATGGGAAAATTAATTATTGTGATTTAAGGCAATTTGGCATTCAAATAGTGCATCAAATTTAAAATGAACCTTTTTCATTTTTGCAAAATCTATCCTGTCACAATTTTTGCAGTAATAAAAATATTGCAAAAATGTATGAATATAAAGAATTGCTTAAAAACAGAGGTTTCTTATATTATTAGTGTAATTTTTATTAAACTTAATTTCAGAATCATACACTAGAAGATGTTTTAGCATTAATGCCACAACATGTTATATCTGTGGTAGAGTTCATAGTTCAGGAAGTTGGGATGGTAACAGACAAGTCAGTAGATGGCAGCACTACAGAAGAAAGAATTAGACACAGAAGTAAATTACTAATGTCCTGTATTGGAGAAAATGACATGTCTATGAAATGTGTTATAAAGCATGTTGTTACAGCTATTCATGATAACAGGTAATATATATGTGAAGTACATCAAGAGTTGTATCAAAGGTAATTCATCTGTTAACCTATTTGTTGCAAATGGTCAATTCTTTTCAAATTTTGAAGAAGCTGTTAAAAACTGTTAACAGTATTGAAATTGTTTAAGACCCTTTTTAAAGAATAAGTAGGTGTTGAAATAACTCGGGTAGAACACAGGTAAATCTGTTGTTTGAATGGAATGGTTTTACATTAGGAATTTTTATTTAAAAAACTTAACAATTTGTACACAACAATCTAACAGAATTGCCAATATACAAGAAAATAGATAAATTTTATATTAACTAATCAATGAATTCAAATATAGAAAAGTATTTAACGTGTTACCAAACAATGAACAACACATTAATTCATGAATGCTCATAGCGCATGAGTCAATAATCAGTTTTTGGTCAAAAGTTGAATACTTTTTCGATATTTGAAGACTGTTTTCTGCTCTTTGGTTGGGTTGTTGTCTTTTTGACACATTCCCCATTTCCATTCTCAATTTTATTTGAATGCTTATTCTTTTTATTACATTGATAATGGGTTTTAAAATGGAAATAAAGTAGAAAATTCAAGGAACTATATCTTTTTCTACACATTCACAATTTGCTTTGATGCAATGTCATCGACAACATCTTGACCACACATATTGATGTATGACGTCAGAGGAGTGAAATTATTAAATTTATTTTACATGTGAAATTATCAGTTTTTATTTTACTGGGAAATCACTGTAATTTATTGCAACCAATGCAATAACAACAAATAGCTTGTCTGAAACATGTTATAACTATGACCTTTATTGTTTATTTTAAGGTACAAGAACATTTATGAACATGTTCTAATGGAGTTGTATTCCCAGTGTCCTAAAGTTTTGTTCCTGATGGCAGATTCAGCTGTTTGTCTGACTGATATTAAAACATCACATACATTTGTTACTCAGGTATAGTAAATTAAAAGGAATGAATAATTTGTTAACAGTTGATCAGATAACAAGCATTGAACTTGTAACATCAACCAAACTGGGAATTTTTCACCCCCATGTAAATTCTAAGATTTGATTCTTATTAATTTTTGTTTTTTTGTTAATATTTATTTTTACATCATCTGTTAAACAGCCATGAAATATATAAATTAATGATTTTAGTTTGACTTATTAGGAAACCTGTGTTGAGTGTATCTAATACTGTAAATTCAGAATTTTGGGATGTTTTATTATTGCTAAAATTGTGGCAAAATAGTTATCTCTAAAATAGAAACTGACATTTTAAATTTTGATAGCTTTATTTGTATGCAGCACTTACTGAAATTGCAATAATCTAACATTTTTGTCCATTTGTCAACAATCGTTTTACTAAATGCACTACAAAATTTCTCAATTTACAGTATTGATTTGTGCAACAACATATCTGGATCTAGTAATCCTAATGTATTTACTTACAATAAAAACAATTATGACAATTTATCATATACTGCTACTTGTGAAATGGTTTGAAAAAAAAGACGTTAAATATTAACAAAATGGAGCAATCAAATCTAGCTTAATAAATTGATTCTTATTCTAAAAGAAATATAAAAAGCTTTTATTTTTAATCTATTTTTAACTAAGACCTCCTCACAAAAGGCATATATTTATTTCTGTTTCATGCCCTTTTATGTATTGTATCAGTCTGTGCTAGTTAATGTAAAGTGGAATCAATGTTTATTCAGGTGGACTTGGTTTCACACAGACTTCTAACTGGTCTTGGTGAAGGTGGTCATGGTAGGAGGGCTGAGGAAAGAATGTCTGATGCCACATTGGCATTGAAGAAATTAGCGGCTCAACATCCTGTGCTGTTACTTAGGTAAGAGTAGTATCCGAAGATATATCCTTCCTCACCGGAAAAGTTTGTCAATTATGCGCAGCTTATGACGTCATTTACCAGATAGAGGAGATCACCTGTATCCCTGCACTATTAAAGATCATCAAGCATCTTCTTGATCGTCATTATGCAGGATAAACTAGAAATAATGTTTATTCTGTAGATACTTAATCACAATTCCCTAGTGATAGCAGTATAAGAATTTAAATTGCCAAATAATTCTTTCAATATAGTATTATATTTTTTCAACCGCTCGCTCAACATTGGAAGAAGTGATGACGCCCCTAAATGCACAAATGATGTTCACTAAAACCAAAGCTTATGACGGAAATGCAAGGAACTCGAAAGTGGTCTACTATTTTATTGTCATATTTTGTGTTTTATTTTAATAAAAGAAGATATTTCTTTAAGAAACATACATAAACTTATTATTATCATTTAATGCTTTCATAAGTTACAAAACATTTGATATTCAGCTAAAGAAAATCAGATAATTTTATCCTGTTTATGAAGTCCTGACAAGGATTTTGTTTTTCTCTTCTGTTGAAGTTATACACCTTAATATTTTTTTTTATTTACCGATTTCAAATAGGCTAGACTTTTCTTGGATATACCATTTACAGGCAGGTATACCTTTTACAAATCAAACTGGAATATTTTCCCAATCTTAAAATAAGTGAAACTAAATGTTTTACTAAATGTAAAATTTTCTTTCAGCCTTTAGGTGAGATTTTAAGCAATGCATGTCCATCTTAAATCCACCTTCCAAACTATTATCTCCCAAAACAATTTGTCTGAATTAATTAATTTCAGACAACTGCCTTTGATAGCTGCCTTACTGAAAGGTAAAACAGAGTTCAAATTTGGAGAAATGAGACATAAGAATTATGTGACTCTGTTTACACATGTGCAAGCCTTGTTAGAAAACCTACAGCCACATGTGTTCAGTAAAGATTTGACAGCTCTGGAGGACATTATTGGGTCATATTTCTCTTTAATCGAGGTATGTTTACAAAAGAAAAAAAAATGATTCATTGATTGGGTACATTTATGCATGACTTACATTTAAAGTAAACACTTCATTGAGGTAAATGAAGATATTTAGTGGATTTTTCAGAATGTACTTGTAAGTGACCTTTCAGCTATTATATGACTTAGAGAAGGATGTATTCAAAGGAGTATAATCAATCACCTTACAGAATAAATGGGACACTCAGACATTGTTTATGCCTCATTGAATTTATTTAGTTTAATGTCCATGTTAATTTCTTAGATACTTAGTGATCACATTCCACTGTGAAAACTTGAATTATTATTTAAGAAATAATTTATGGAAGCCATAGATTTGTTGGAAATTTACACATGGCCAGGGCCGTGATATTCGAATTTTATCCTGAGCGTTAGCCATGTGTAAATTTCCAACAAATCTATGGCTTCCATGAATAATTTTGATTCTAATAGGACAAATACGGTAATTTAAAAAACCTGAAGCGAGAGTGGGTATGCCGTGTGTGTGGCTGTTATATTTTACCCCTGTTGGATAAAGCTAAACATTTCCAATAAATGTATAGCTTGCATGAATTATTTCTTAAATAACAGCTAGAAAAAATGTGTTTAATCTTTTAATTCTCAACCCCAAAATTTGCCATTTTTAATTTACATTTTTTTCTCGTAAGCTGTCGTCAAATCCACAGTTGAATTTCGTAATTAAGGAGCCGCCATGTTGACTGCTTGAAATTAGTTAATGTGCGAATAATGCAATAGAATAGAAAATAAAACAACGACCTACCTCAAAACTCCATTTAAAAGCAATATTATCCAAATTTGGAGGGTTCACGTAATGGAAAAATATTTAGCTTTAGAGTTTTCATTCATATGACGTCATGTTTTGAAATGACTTTAATGCCCCAAAAGCATAAATGAAATTTTGCGGAATTTTAATTTATTTTGTACATTTTTCCGAGCTCAAATGCATTAATTCTTTTTGTTATGCATCAGAATAAGAATAAAGGTTCTGTATTTTTTTGCAATTGCAATTTTTAACACAGCGAAAGCGGCATAGCGTTTGTACATAGGTTACGATACATGTGGATTTCCGTGGGAAGTATATTATAACAGCCATTATTATGTACATCTGAGTCTGCCCTAAGTATAGATATATCGAGAATTTTATCACGGTGTTGTTTACAAAGCGAAAGAAGCACGTCATATTAGAATTAAGGTTAATTTTGGAAATGTAATCTACCTATAATTATTTGAAATGGTTTTGAATAAATAGATTTTTATAAGTTTTTAAGCTTTACACAATTTATAATGTACCAGCATTTTTTTTCTAGAACCATGGTGACCAGAAAGTATTGATGCCAATAATTGCCAAGTTTATTAGATTTCTGAACAAGTTCGTAACCAGTCAACCTCAAAAGTCTGTTGTTATGTTACAGAAACATGTCAAATTATTGAGGTAAGTGTGTTATGTTACAGAAACATGTCAAATTATTGAGGTAAGTGTGTTATGTTACAGAAACATGTCAAATTATTGAGGTAAATGTGCTTTTACATTAAAAGTGTCTTACAAATGATTGAGGCTAGTTTAAAGTACAATTTAGTTACCCTTTTCAGATTCTGATATTTAATGATTCATTAATCAAAATTAGGAAGGACATAGGTTCATTAGATCATTTGATTCCTATTTTAGTATATATAAGATCTGTGTATTAGTTTTATATTATTTCCACATCTTTCATGCCAGTTTTGTGCATACATAAACTCATTTTTGGGATCTTATTGTAATGTTTGAAACTGCTTAATTTTGTGTTTCCTATTACACAGCATATACAACAATGACTTTTTATGCCCCATCTAAGATAGTAGAGGGGCATTATGTTTTCTGTCCTGCGTCGGTCCATTATTCTGTCTGAATGTTTGTTTGTCCTGTATCAGGTTGTAGTTTTCAATTAAGATTGTTTTCAATGAAATGGTGGTCACATCAATTTGAAACTTAGTACACATGTTCATTATGATTGTGGTCACATCTTGAAACTTCACATCTTGAAACTTAGTACACATGTTCATTATGATGTGCACTTTTTTTGAAATAATATGCCAAGTTAAGATTTTGACACGGATTTCAAAGTTCACAGAACATCAAATTAGGATAGTGAGAGGAGCATGGTGTCCTATGGACACATAGTCTTGTTTATCAGCCTTTAACCATAGTAAACAAACTCCCTTAGACTAGAGTTTAATTGGTCAAGGTTCATGATTTTGTTTTTCAATGCTTTTTGTCTCGTCTGCAACGAAAGTCGCGGAAAGCGAGACATAGTGATTGCTTTTCCAGTGAAGGTGACAGTGTCAACAATTGTTAAGTTTTCTGCTTAAGTTAGTTTGATAGGAACTACTTGTGATAGATCAATGATATTTTGTATGAAGTTGCATTACTATCAGTACGTATCAATCTGATGACTATTTTGAGGCCCTGTCCCCTTAGGCCATGGTGGAGTGACTGAAATGATTAGCAATTTTAAATGTTAAGTTTTCTGCTTAAGTTAGATTGATAAGAACTACTTGTGATAGATCATTGATATTTGCTATAAAGTTGCATAACTATCAGTACATATCAGTTTGATGACTATTTTGAGGCCCTGTCCCCTTAGGCCATGGTGGAGTGACTGAAGTAATTAGCAATTTAAATGTTAAGTTTTCTGCTTAAGTTAGATTGATAAGAACTACTTGTGATAGATCAATGATATTTTGTATGAATTTGCATTGCTATCAGTACATTTCAGTTTGACTACTATTTTAAGGGCACTGCCCCCTAGAACTTTCAATTAATAAACAATTTTCAATGTTAAGTTCTCTGCTTAAGTTAGTTTGATAGGATTTACTTGTGATAGATCATTGATATTTGCTATAAAGTTGCATAACTATCAGTACATATCAGTTTGACGACTATTTTGAGGCCCTGACCCCTTAGGTCATGGTCCAGTGACTTTGAATTAATTAACAATTTTCAATGATAAGTTTTCTGCTTAAGTAAGTTGGAAAGGAACTACTTACAATAGACAACAATATTTTCTATAAAGTTACATTGCTGTCTGTACATCTCAGTATGTCAATAATTTGAGGCCCTGCCCACTAGTTGGTCCAGAGACTTTGATCTATTTAGCAATGTTGCTGTCCATCAAATTGTCTTTTTTTTTAATTTTATGCCGACAGGTGAGACACATTTCTGTATCAACAGTTTATGATTTCTATAGGATAATATTTTATTGTAAATTAAAGGTGTAAAATTTTATAAAAATGACAGCGTAACAGAAATACCGGCAGCAAGGTGTACAAGCTCAATGTACTATCAAACCAAATACAAATAGTAAACAATTTGAACTTGATTGTTTTTATCATGTGTTTATGTATGTAGTTCTATAATTATACTCCCAACAATTTTCAATGCTGACAAAAATATAAGCCACTTATCATTGAATATTTGCATTTAAACTATTTTTCAACGTTTAATGGTGCAAAATGTCTTATTGTTAAGTTTGTAAAAAATATTGCTAAACATATGTAAATCTTCTTCAGTGATGTATCAGCTCTGTACCCAGATATGGCAGGCCTTAAGTCATTATTGGCAGGACTGTGTCTGCCTACACAAGACAAGGGAGGTGACTCTCCTGTGCTGTCTGTATCTCCAGTACCTGTCTTACCACAGAGACCTTCATCACCCTACACTGCCAGTCAACTGGCTCCATTTGTCAAAAAATTCAAGGGAACCAGTCAAGGTTAGTAAGATAAAAGATCTTTTGTCTTTTGGTCTTTTCCAAAAAAAAAAAAAACCAAAGGGAATTTTAAGACTAAAGTATTAATAAAAATGTTATGAATGTCTCTTGGCTACATATTAAGAATAAAGATTAAAACAATATGAAAGGTTAACATAAACACAATGGACATTTTCAGTTTAAACTTAGTATCATGGGCTACATTTTTTTCTGTACATATGTTTCTTAGAAAATCTGTTATTACTTTTTTGCTTCTATTCATGAATGGAACCTACAATCAAATAATATGAATGGAATTTAGAGTATATACACTAAATAATTATATATTTTATTTTTATATGAAACAAATCCATTATTTTTCCTGAAAAAAATACTGCCTTACTGAACAAGTTTTTGTTCAGTTCATTAAGCTTTATTAATTTTTTGCATTTTGGTTTATTATATCAATATTTTATATTTCAATTATCTCTTTTCATGGAATATATGTAATATTGTGCTTTACAAATTAACCTTCATTTAAAGGTTTCAAACTAGTATTCTTTTATAGAGAATCAATAATTTACTCATTGATTTATTTGTCCTTTGCAGCCTTAGTATGGCTTATATGACATTATTTTGTTTTTTAAGGATTAGTTTAACTTACTTGTATTGCATAAATAATTTCATTGTCAATTAATTATCTCCAAAACGCCTTTCAGATGTTTTAGAAGTACTAAAGGAATTAGATGAATTCTCTAAGAGAAAAGTTGATATCTTAGAAAACTTTATGGTAAGACATAAATTATTGTTATTTCAGAAATTGAATATTTGAAAAAAATGTAAGATGACAAAATGAATTGAGATAAGTAAAACTCACATGTTCATATTTTGAAGTAAAGTACTAATACAAGAACAAGATTAATGTTAGATTTTTGTAAATTGTCAAATATTCATGTACACGTTAAATTCTAAAATTTATATATACAGAACATCTTATTTTTACATGTTTCATCTTGATCACAGTTATGATAATAGATATAGAATAATGTCACTTTTGTTATTGAGCAGGCTTGCTTGACATTCTTGCTGATAAAGTCGGTATCAAAAAATAAAATGCCATTATTGTTTTTATCAGCAATTTGTCTTAACTGTATGTTTATTTGGCTGAGAAAATGAAATAGTTGGTTAAACTATTTTTACGCATACTAAACGTCGTGATAGTTGTTCTGTTGTATGAATGAAGTCGTGTGCATTTCATTGATAAATTGACGTAGATGAACATGTACACGTTACATTACTGCACTAATACATGACATTATTGCCTAATATTTTTCAGTATCAAGTCCTGTCCATGATTAAAAAATATTAGGCAGTAAGATAAAAGGGAAAATGAACAAAATGCTGATAATGTTATAAAGTATAAAGAGTTATTTCTTTGGAAGTGGAAGCCCCTTAATTATATAACCTTATGATTATTTTTTCAGGTTTATTTAAAAGTAAAAGTATATGACTGCAATGATCAAATAAGGAATACAGCATTTAATTTAATTATGAGACATGTTAGACAAAATCCAAGGTAAGACATTTAGTTCACAGCGAACGAGCTAATAGATTTGTTCTTAAGATTTCCATCACTGATACTGGATATGGGAATTTTTCGCAAAGGGTTTATTTTTGCATATTTGTAGATTAAGATAAAATAGTGAAATTTTTTTTAATATTCCTTCGTCTCAATTAAAATTTCAAGGGAGATCAGAATCATGGACAAGAAAAATGTGAAAATAAAACCTTTGGAACAGGTTTTGCAATTGAAATTGTGAAATATACTCCACAAAAATAAACCACTTTACAGAACTTTAATGTACATTTATTCCCCCTGAGGGTGGAGATATGAAGATTTGTTCACCCAACAAATATCTTATTTCTCAAAGGGCAACTTCCTATTTCCCTACAACAAGAGAAATGAACGTTTTATATATAATTCAATAGTTTTTCTTTCTTTGACTTCTTTAAATATAGAATATTGAAGTACATGAAATTTCTCATGTCCACTTTTACAATACATTGTGTAAATAGTGCATCAATAATAAAACAACATTTATTCTTTTGATTATAATTATACTTGAAATCAGCTTAGATTAAACATGATGATTGGCTAATATTTAATAGAGGGAACACAATGCCTCATTGGATTATTGAGACAATATTTGCATTTAGGGGGAAAAAAGAAGTTTATTTCATGAATATAATTGTGATCGAATTTTAGAATAATAGACATCAACATTTTCATTCATTTTTTCCTGAAAATAATTCAAAAGAAACTGAATGCCAGACTATACATTACAAAAAATATTGAATCACAAAATATACAAATATGTACAATTTAACATTTCTTGTTATTTCATTTATTGCAGTTCTGCCATCCAGTATGTTGGTCTTTATTTACAATGTTTAAACAGCAATAATCCTGATGTTGTCACTAGTGCTTTGAAAATACTGGCAGAGTTTTGTGTTCTTTGTCAAGGTAAGATATAGAGCAAACATACAACTTATATTAATACAAAAAATACATAGTTGACAATAAGACATCAACCGATTCACAGATTGCTTGACAAGTATATAAATATCTTTAGGTCATTTAAAGACATTAAAGATAAAAAAAAAACCAGCCCAAGTCATTTAATAAGCTCTTTAAGCCAACAAAGCAAGCATTAAGCAAAATAAATCCAATGATTACTAGTAAATGAGAAAGAAAGAAAAAAACAAATGACACTCTCTACCACTGAATCATAGCTTCCTTGCTCAATTCTTAAAAAGCCAGAACTTTACTGCTAATATTGATTGTTTTTTTCTATTTCAGATCAATCTAATTTAATTCTACAAAAAGCTTTTATGGTAGGCACAACGACTTCTTTAGATACAGGTTCATACATCACAGAGACATTACAATTACTTAATCTTGACCCGATGAGTAACTGAGTACCATGCATCTTATTGACCTTTCAGTTAATCAACCAGAACTTAAGATTAGCAACTTTCATGCTGTGAAGGGAGTCACTCAACCTGTCCTATTATATAAGCTTTGTGATAAGTCCCAGAATATGATGTGCCTGAAATTGTTAATATTAAAAAATGATATAAATTTTTATGGAAATCTGTTGAACTGTTACTGAATGACAATAATGACAAGTTGAATTAATTCACTGCCATGTAGTGATCAACTGTTAATGAATGTTTTGGCTTCATTGTACAACAAAGGAATGTTGTGATTCTAGATAAAAAAATCATGTGGTATACAACTTGAGTGAAATATGCCCATTTTTCAACAAAATAATAAAATATGGTTATCTTGTTAATCTATCTAGCTGGATATCCTCAAACGTTTTTATACTTTCTGAAAGTGCTTTTAGAAAATGTTATGGGTCATATAAAGGCCAAACAATTAATGGAATCAGTAAAAATCAATGTTTGGTTTCTTTATCTATCATTTTAAATAGTATATAAAAAGCCACTTTGCAAATCCATCTTGAGTGAGCTTAAAAACCTCAAATTTATGAGTGTAATTGGATGTAATGCTACAACATGTATCAGCATGTCAAAAATCAAAATTTGTAGAACATTTTATTTATGGTGGCTTGACCTGAAACAACTTCAATTTCACCTATAATGTGTTTGCAATGGACATGTGTCATTCACATACAAAAGACTACATGTAATATGGAAAAAAAAACATTAAAACCCGTTCAACGATAATGTTGCAGCTTGTTTTAAGTGCTATTATTTGTATAATTATAATGCAAGATATTCATTTGTTATAGCTTTTAAAGCAAATAAAACATGTAAAGTGTGTTTTTATGTTTGATAAAGAGTTAACTTGTCCATTGTTGGTAAACTGTCTCCGTGGTCTCCTGCTTACAATGTTTGATTCAAGGTTGTGGTTATGATTCCCAGTTGGATCTAATCAAAGATTTATATTTTGTTACAACTTCCCTATTGAGTAATCAAAAAGATAAGTTGGTGTAGTCTGAAAATTTCAGAATAATGTATCTAGGTTGGATGACATATCTCCTTACAACCTGCTTATTTGTGAACATGTTAAAATTCAATTCAGCATGTAGGTCTGGTATAAAGATGCTATCCTCATATCTCATTAAATGCAGAACATTCATGTCGATCCATGGGGTTATAGGTAATTTTCTATGGAGAAGATAATTATCAGACTTATTAACACTCAATTATATGCCTTGCAAACGAAATGTTGTTTTTTTTTTGGGGGGGGGGGGGGGGGGGGGGTGGAGGGTTTACACAGCCTGTCTGTCAATCCAACTTCTCCTAAATGGCTGAACAAAAATTGTCACAGTTGTAAAACACTACCTTAGGATGTGCACAAAGGTCCAAGTTGTTAAAAGGGAAATAATTAAAATTTACCTCCATCAATGAACGAACAGTATTGCTTATGGGGATATCTTTTGTAAGAGCACTCAAGGTTCTAGTTATGATATTACCTTAATCACATTTACAAGTAAATATGAAGTATGGTCAATTTCATAGTTGGATGAACAATAGTAAGATTTTGGTTAAGATAAAGGTTAATCAGTCTTGTAAATTCATTATACTATTTTGATGATGTATTTTTTTATCACTTAAAAATGCAACAGGATCAATATCAAGTTGAGAAGAACTTACTGGTACAAATTCTGATAGCATTACACAAAAAGTATATGAATGCAACTTTTCTTTAAATACGGTTAATTTATTTTGCGGGGTAAGAAATATGCATTTCCCATGTAAAACCTGTGTGGCACTTTTTCCTGTGTATAACATTCCATAATTCAGTTGCGGACTAAAGATTTTGAAAAGGGGGAGGGGTGTGCATCATGAAAAAGTTAGGAGTAGGACTTGTATATGGTTAATGAAGATACTTTTTACAAGTATATGTAGCTACATAAGTGGGATGGGCCCTAAAACTCAAGCCAGCCCACCCCAGCCTACCTTAGCCCCATTTTGCTTCTGTAAAAGAGAGGCGAAAGATACCAAAGGGACATTCAAACTCATAAGTCAAAAATAAACAACGCCATGGCTAAAAAAGAAAAAAAGACCAACAGACAAATACAGTACACAAAACACAACATAGAAAACTAAAGACTGAGCAACACGAACCCCACCAAAAACTCCGGCTGATCTCGTGTGCTCCGGAAGGGTAGGCACATCCTGCTCCACATGTGGCACCAGTCGTGTTGCTCATGTTATTACAAACTGGCTAATAAGTCTAAATCGGTAGGTCACATTCGAGGAAAGGGAAAGGGATTGTTGTTACGACGATTGGAACATATCTGCTATCGTCTGTGAAACGGATATTCCATAACGGTTAACCAACTTGTGATGGCGTCTGTAAAATTTACGAAGGGATGATTTCAACTACACCACTAGAAACTCTTGGTTTAATAGCTTCCTTGTGAGCAGCAACCCTCTATCAAGGAAATCATGATAGGAAGTAAAAGCTCTTGAATAACGTATCAACTGGGAGATATATACTCCGTATGCAGGCGCTGCTGGAATATATTTCTCATATATTTTATTGATTCCTGTATGAGACAGCCTCATATGAATAAAGAAACAAGTCGGCAAGAAGAGGAGCACAGTTGGTTCCCATAGGAATGCCGATTGTTTGTTAAAAACAATTGCTCCAAACGTAACAAATATGTTTTCAATCAAGAATTCAAGCCATCTTTTTGTTTGAATCAGGGTGATTATTGTCGAGCCTGTGACTTTTGTCGCAGAAAGCTCGACATAGGGATAGTGATCCGGCGGCGGCGGTGTTAGCTAACACACATATAAACGAACTATTTGATAACAACTGCCATATTCCTGACTTGGTACAGGACATTTGAAGACCTTAGTTTCATGGTTCATTGGTCAATGTTTAGTTTTCCTGTTTAAGTCTGTTACTTAGAAACTATAAGCAATAGGTCAACTATATTTGGTGTATTGAAGGATTGTAAGGTGTACATGTATTTCCGGTTTGGTTTATCTGACCTTGACCTCATTTTCTTGGATCATGTTAAGTTTATGTGATACTTTTAGTAAAGCTTTATATTTAGGACTATCAACATAAAATCAATGGTCAGTAAAGAAGGTGAGACATTTCAGCGTGTGCACTCTTGTTTACAAAGTACGATTTATCCCACCCCAAGACAAGATACTTGTATCTTCGTTGGCCATTCTTTTTTTATGAAACAAAGCAGGACCAACTCTTTCAATTTGAGTTTTAGTTTGGAATGGGGAATACTTATGTAAAGTGTAGAAAAGTAAATGTTTTAATACTATTGTGAGATTAGACTTAGATTTTATGTACTCTTAAAAGATCTTTGGAATTTTTTAGTATCCACATCTGATTCACGCCACCTCTAGAATAGGTAGTTTCACAATAACCTTGAAGCCCTGCTTTGATTGCTGATGAAATTGATATTAATAATTTAGAAAGAGGTTTCATGGAGTACTTGGAAGATCCAATTTTTCATCTTTGGTTGAAATTCCAAAGGAACATAGAACAAACCTATGATTATCCAGGATTTCCTCCTTGGTAAGTGTCGTGGGTGTATATGTTGACTTTCCAAGTGAATTGTAAATACCTTATTTATTTATCAAGCATTTTATGTAATGTGATTTACACACAAAAACGATGTTGTTTGGGGCTTTATCTGCGGGGACAACAATATATTTGTCATGGAGGTAGGACGTGTTTTGCAACATAAGAATCTTTAAAGATTGATGTAGCATGGGTATCCCTAGACCCACTCAGCTTTTAAATTCTGATTTGTATCAACGACCTCACAACCTTAATCCATTCGGAAAGAGTATCTACGGCTTCTTTTTTGCGTTCAACCCATTGCCTGGCATAATCCTCGACTGAATTCATCAGTAATTTGAAGTTGTGTTTCCAATTGCTGAATTTAGTTTTTTGTTTTGTGGTGATCTCAGGGGTTCTCATTTCTCGACTTGGATATGGCTGATCGGATACCAATGAAACCTAGTGACAAAGAAAATACTGCGTTTGGAAAACTTCAGTTGCATATTACAGTGTTATATCTTGACGATATTATTGGTTATGGGAAATCATTCGATGAACATCTTTCAAACCTTTGTAAATCTATAAGCATACTTAAAATTGCTGGATTGAAACTAACACCCAAGAAATGTGCATTCTTTCGACCAGAAGTATTATATTTAGGACACACAGTTTCAAAAAAAGGTATTCGAAGTGATCCATAGAATTCAAAGTTGATGCTGTTGCTAAGATGGCGTCTCAGGAAAATGTGAAAGATCTTGTATCACTCTTATGTTAAGTTTCGTATTACAGAAGATTTATTAAATGTGCACTTACAAAATTAAATACTAAATATAATTAGGCAGAAGAATGTGGTATAGCCTTTACATTTTTCTTGGTTAGAAACATCTTAACTAGGAATTTCAAGCAAGTAATAGGCGGGGGAATTGAAGATGAATTTTCAAGAGGAGAGTATGTAAGAGAGTATGAGATGATAGTTACTAGTTTTGCGGTAGTCAGAAAGTACATTAGAGTTGGTGTTAAAACTAGAAGTAGAAAGAAAAATAGTTTTCCCTTATTTACGAATGTGAATGAAAGTATAATAATATGTAAATATTGTTTCACTAGTTGGGAGTTTTAAAATCATTATAACATTCGAACTAAATATGGTGTTAGTTGTTTATATTTATCATATATTTTACACAGAAACACTACCAAAAAAAAGCATGTCATAGTCAGCTACAAACCCTATAAAAGGAATATTCTACAATCCTATAAATACAAATTTCAGTCACTGGTATTTTTTTGTAGATCTTGTATTTTTGACCATATTTACAGTTTTATCTTTTTAAAGTAGTTTTCAAGATAATAGACAAACATGCGACAGTGAGTTAAAAATCGACTTTTATCGGCAATAAATACCGACCGTGCGAGACCCTTATGGGTTAACCCCCATCCCCCTTTCCTTATTATTAGTATTAAGCATAACTTTACGGTATCAGTCATCTTGCCATTTGGTAGATCTATTCTTGCTGATTGCAAATTTTGTTTATCTATTATAGGGTTAAAATTAATAAGTAAATTGCTAAAAATGATCAAATCATCATTTAAGGACAGTAACTCCTACTAGGTGTATTCTAATTATTTTGGTACAAATAGACAGTTCTGGTAGATCTTGACACTATTAACATTCTTGTTGGATTATCTATAATTAGTTTGGTATTTAGGATATTGAACAATTGAATGCTTTTTACCCTTCTGTTTTTTTTAACCATGGTGGACATTTTGGTTGATGGGCAGAAATGAAATTAAAAAAATCAATCTAAATATCAATCATATATATATATATTTTTTAAGTTGGTTAAGTATTTTCGGAGATGATATTTGAGGAAGGATTGACAACAAGCGCAAAGCTTAAACTGGCCTTCCACTTGAGGCAAAATACGTCTTTTGATTGGATTCGTGCAGGTGTCATCAGACATACAATAAATCTCTACATTTGTGAAAAAATAAGATCAAGATTTGACCAATTTATGAAAACGTACATGTTGGAATAATATTTGTTTATAGACAGTTATTAAACCCGATGAGATACCCAATAAAATATGGCAATACTTTTTATTGTAGGAATCCAAACATACATGTATATTAAATGGCCACTTCCCAGCCGTAAATTTAGGCCAATAAACAATTTTTAAAATGTTATTCAACTTGCTTTTCCCCAGAGTTTTTGTTAGCTTTCACTTCGGCCAAAGTAAAACTTTAATATTATTGTTAAAAGACATATTTTGTTAACATAAAT